AATTTACACCATATAAACCTGCTCATGTATAGTGGGCATAATGTATACCACTAACTGATATGTGAAGGTTTTAGACCTCAATTCAAGTAAAGATCTTTTGTGCTGAGAAAGTGAGACATATTAATATGTGACATATAAGTTCTGGTTTTGCAAATGACACGATTTTGCTAGTTCTCTATAACAATGTTATTTGCAGTATATTTACATTATTTCATACTATAACATTATTTGAACTTAAAAACAAAACCAATGTTGCCTACAAATTAAGCATCTTTTTTTCATTCTAAAAACTAGTTTTGTAGTCACGTAATATTATGATTGTTAAAGGGGCACTTGGTCCTGAAATCCCCGAAAATTTCATGTTTTGGATTGTTTACTTATCCTATTTCAAACATGTGGATGAAAGGAAACCAACTTAATGTCTATGCCGTTCCCGAGAAAAGACGAAAAAAAACCCCGGTTGTTTACATCGGACACGACGGAGTACGAATACGTTTTTCGTGTCGTTCTCATACAGTGTATGATATGTACGTTGTGTGTCTCGGGAACAGCGGTGACCAATCACCAAAGCAAAAAAAACATTTTACGTGTACGAATGAAATCACAACTAGCATCCAAACGGCTCAAATTTATGGGGTCGCAAAAGTGGACCCCGAAATTCGTTCTCGCACGCATAATACAGGAATAACACAAAAACGCCCAGTTTTTAAAGGATAGTTGTGTGGATGTTTCTATCCTAGTTTTAAATGTTCTTTCCAGTTAACATAATCTCGTTCAAAGCACGTTTTGTAGCCCAATTGGGCTGTTCCAGGACCTAGTGTCCCTTTAATGCAATGTAAAACTCCTAACATTTTATTTCTCTTAAAAAGTTCTTTGAAGTATTGATAACTTCCCATACTCTAACCAAAAACTACAAAGTGGAATGACATTTTAATTTTAATAACTTGTTCTATAAGCACCTGTTATAAGTATTTTATAGTTGATACTTACAGTATGTCCACTTCTAGTTGTTGTAGATGAAATTAAAACCTACAAAATGTTCTATTTCTCAAAAATGATATTTGCAGAATTGATATGTAATACTTCCCACAGTCAATATAAACCAATACACCATTGCCCATAGACTGACTTGTTTTCCTTCTAGTCACTTGTTTTGTAAGCGCACATAGGAAGAAGGGAAGACTGTGTACAGGCTGCATACAGGATATGGCCTGCTCTTTTTTTTTCCTTAACAGTTTGCTGCATATAGCTCCCATGAGATCACACAGGGCAAAGTGAAATTTCCTGACATTTTAAATACCATAAATAAAAGTTACATGTATAAGGGCAAAAGGATACTATGTGTATCATAAGTACATGTATGTAAGTAGGACCGATTATGATACCCTGTGTATTTTGTCTAATTTGTGCATATAGATCTATGTGTAATCTATAGAATAATGTCTGGATTTCAGGAAACAACACTTAGACACACCCATTTCCTGCAGTGGGACTTAAGTTTTTGGTTGGTTCTTGGTTGTTTCTTCTCCTAAGGACTTCTACAAGGGATTATAACTAGGAGGCCAGAAACACAGGGGCAAACCCCTTCTCTTAATGATAAGTGTTACTGGGTTCTTTTACGTGCGTTAGGCCTTATACAACACACGGGACCTCTGGCTTAACGTCCCATCCGAAGGACGAAGCAATAATGGTTTTAGTACCTTGCTTAAGGGCACAAGTGTCCGGGCCCGGGCTCGAACCCACGCCACTGTTGCCTCTGAAACACCAGAGCATGAGTGCGGTGCTCTTAACCGCTAGGCCATGACACTTCACGTGTTTAAACACTCCACATGTTTACTAAATGTTTATAACTTTTTTCTATTTATTTGTTTGCTGTCTAATTTAATTCAGGGCCCTTATCAGTTAAAAAACTGCTTTCAATGAGGGCCCTGGTTCATATTACGGGTACTAAATATTAATTTAAAAACAGCATAAGAAATTGAATTAAAACAAAACAAAACATAGATACCAATATAAATAATTAACAATAAAGAGATTATCAATCAAATTAAATTAGACGTAATAGAGGAAAACAGTCTAAAAATCCTACAATTCCAAAAATAAATAAACAAATCCACAATTGAATGCAGTTGATATTGTTACTGCTTGTTTTCATTGTCTGCATGCTTCAGCTCCTGAATACAACATTGACCTATTAGCTCCATACAGTCCATCCAGGCGATTGAGATCTTCTGATGCTTCTTTGTTTGTTCATGTTCCTCACACTCACAAATCTTGGGGAGATTGATCCTTTTCTTACACAGGTCCTCATATTTAGAACAAGCTGCCTCTCGCCATTCACAATATCTCTTTAGTTTATGAATTTAAAGTTGCCCTGAAGACCTTTTTGTTCCAGATCACCCACAATATTTTTGTTTAGTTGCTTTGATATTTGTGATTTGATGTAATTGTATTGCGCCGTGAGCATCATTTTTGGCGGATAAGCGCGTTATAAATTGCCGTTATTATTATTATTGTTATAATAATTACGCTGGATTGGACATTTGGGAGACATCCCCATAGACTTGTGCACAAAAATTTTCAAACTTCAATGTGCCCTAACCCAATATTCCCTTGTCCTCTTTCCATGAATTTCGTGTTTACTAATTAGACCATGAGCAACAAATATAACCTAATTGTGACAGTAAAATTGTGCCTCTAAAGGGGGGCTGTGACATTAGGGAGACATGAAAATGTCTCCCTAATGACCGATGTCTCCCATCGTGCGAAGAAATTACGATAACGTGTCTCCTTAGGGTACCTTTACACGTATATATTAAAGCTTAAAGTAATAGGAAAGATTACAGATGAAACTGTAAATGACAGGACTGGAAAAATAGGAATTCACGTTATTGTATGTGCTCAAGGTAATGCTTAGTGTGTACTGGGTAGCACTGCCGAAGTTCCCAAGGCTGGATTGTATCCTTCTTGACCATCGTGGCAGCTTTATCACACTTGTCAAGGACAAGCTGTTAGGGAAATAAAAAAACAAATCTAGTGTTGGACCTAACTTTTTTGAACGCATCCTTACATAAAGTGTGTCACACATAAAAAGTGAATAGAGTTTTCAGCGTCCTGACACGCAGTGCGTGACACGTAACTAGTTTCATGAGGTCTATCTGTCCAAATCAATTTCCGGGCAGTTGATCCATGGGCAACCCTCCAGAGCATCTCACCCAATGAATATCTCCACCTGGATGCCGCTTTTCATCGGGTCATCGGAACTGACTTAAAAAAAAAAAATGTAGGGGAGTGGGTGTCACTGAAACGGGGAGGTGTCATTGGGTGAATAGTTAAGCGTCATCGTGCGTGTGCAGTTAAGAGTCTTCAGGATGAATGATGACATCATCCTTACTTGCCAATTATGCGTTCTCCTGTTTGGCTTCCTGTAAGCCCAGACCCTATAGTATATAGGCTAGACCATGACTGCAGACAATTTGATCTAGTTTGGTTTCCACAGGCTACCGATAAATCAACTAAGATTTAAAAAAAAAAAAAAAAAAAATGAATGGAAAAGCTCTGGGCAAGTTGACCTTCCGGCTATAAATTTTCTTGTTCATTGCAGGTGTCTTTCACTAGTTCTTAGGAATCTAGTAGACGTATACTTCCTTTTTCTGAGAGATAGGCACAACTACCAATAAATCATAAGGTGTTCTAAGAATGAGACACTTAAATTTAGCTTCGGACAAATTTAGCCGTGCAGCAATAATAATAATGAAAAATGTCAGACGTATTTGAAGTAAAAGTAAAAGAAGAGTAAGAGTATTTTAACTTCCCACCAATATACCTTTATCACATTCGTTGAATCTTGTGTTCCTCAAACCAAAGATAAGTTTTGGTCACTTAAAACTTATGGGTAGATCTATTGTGAGTTAAATCAGAATTTTGTTAATTGCTTGTAGTTGTAGAGCTGTGTTGAATAAACTAATTCTTCAGTCATCAACGGAATACCCGCAAACTGTGAGCGGTCTCAGATGATGCAAAAGGAGTTGTGCAGTTTCCATTGTTTGTCAAATGCCACACTTTTGTTGAATGCTATTTTCCACACATGATTTGAAAGCTTCCAAAGGAATAATAGCTAAAATTTCTTCTTAAATATCAGTCATTCCGCAACCTGTTCTTTTTATTATTTTAACAAGGTCTTCGTCAATTTTCAACAAGTGCTGGTACACGCAAATCCTAATTGGCAGCCAATTTTAGGCTGGTCCATAGTTAACTTGATCAGTGCATTTTGAAATAGTTTCAAATATTTTGATCAAGTCCAAGTGGGAATAGGCCTAATTGGATTGCACAGCCCTAATTTTTGTGTATTTGTGAACAGGCCAGAGTGGAAAACAAATTTTTTGAGTTATTCATGTTTGTAAAATTTGTATGCATATAATAATGCAAAATATTGAAGTGTGTTTATTAGGTCAATTTTGAATTCTTTCTGTACATTGTAATACTTTCAGAAAGCAGGTAAAAGAATAGAATAGCCATACCTGCTCATGACTGCGGGATTCTTGTTGATTAATTTCTAACCCTCTCTAGATGGAATTCTAGCTGCCTTTGTGCAAAAAGTCCCTTTGTGTTGAATGTGGGCAAAACTAAAGTTTGTGCTGGCAAGAATTGTAATATATGGAACATTTGTGTATAAATTTCACGTTCAAATTTAAAGATGGTATTTTGTCAAATACAGGTACATTGTACACCGCTAAAATTTTGAGTCGAAGTTATTCCCGTCATACTTACTGGATGGATGGTGCAAATGAAGATGTATCTGTTGGGCACTATCTTTTGATCCCACTACCACCAATCGCTCGCACCACCTATCACCTTTTCTTTCTAATTCATGGCTCTGGAGGATTGTTTTTTGAAAGTGAACTATAAAGTTTGAGATTTCCTACAGGATCGATCCATCTTGCAAATTCATTTCTTGTGAACGCATTCGCTATCACTCACTTTCTCTTCCTTTTTTTCAGCTGGCAAGCTCAACAACGTTGGTCCCCCCTCCATAACACCACAGGGCTCAGAACTCACGTTTGTCGAAAACAGAACGTTGGAAATTACGTGCCGTGGTGCTTTCGGTCTGGAATGGATCTATCCAAATAGTGTAGCGGACCGAGTGAGAATTACACCAACCGCATGTAGAAATTGTGAGCCCGACCTCAAGCACTCAAGTATTCTGAGAATCGACGTGTCGCATTATGAGGACACCGGACAATATGTGTGTGCCTACCTAAAATATATGGACAGCCTCAATAACAAAACTGCCACAGAAGTTTATGTGTATGTTGCAAGCAATGGTGAGTACACAGTGATATTTCTTTTCAATAACAACTTTACCCGTGTCTTTAGCCTAAAAAAAGCCCAATGTATCATCTCTTATTTCCAGTTAAAGGTAGAGTATATCATTTGCAGATATCCAAAAGTAACTGAAAAAATTATTGTTGAAAAACATACATAATTTAAAGATAGTAATGGCACTAAACTCCCTGTGAAATTGTTCTTTCTGGCATGCTGTCATTTTGAAGAAAACAAAAGAAGGTCTTTTTCAAATATGCGTCTAAAGACGCATTTTTGGAAGTTTCCGTGAATGGGTGAGCGCAAGCGTTGTGAATGGGTAAGCGCAAGCGTTAACACGGCGCACAGGCACGCTTGGTTGCTTTAATTTGTTGGTTCAGTGCGTGACATCGTGTAGCTGATTTCGGCCGCAATTCAAAACTGACTAGGCAACTTTTGAATTGAAATCAGGTTAGTTGTTAAGCACCCTTCTTTAGATTTTTAGTGTTGCTTCAAACGAAAAAAAAGAAGGCACAAATGACAAATGATGTACTCTACCTTTAAAACGCTAAAATGGTTGTGCACATTTTGAATAAAATAAGTTGTGCACACTTCGCGCCATACGCACACGAACCAGAACGCATACCCAATGTGTCCCTCCCATTGGGGCTCTTGAAAGTGGTCATACAAGTGGCATCTGCTGCTCATGCCCAGCTAGTCCATAACTGTACAGAATAATGTAAACAATTCAATTTGTTTTGTTGGTCACCAGATCGTGAAAAGCTGTTCTTGCCAGTGACAGAGCACACCATCTACATCAACGGTGCCACGCCCTTCACCATCCCCTGCCGCATCACCAATGCCCGGGCCCAGGTCTCCTTATTCCATGGATATAATACCCTGATGAACCAGGACCGAACACTGGTGTACGATCCCAAGGTCGGATTTAACGTGACCGCCAACCAGGAGTTATACGAAGGGTTCGTCACCTGCCAGGCGCAGCTGGGGAATATGCAGCAGCAGCAGGTCTACACGGTGCAGTACGAAGGTATGTTGTTGTTGCTGAGCTCGTCAGAGGGCAGGGCGAAACAAATAATGGCTCTACCATATTGCGGTAGTCACATGATTTGGTCAGAAGGTTAAGCAAAAAGTACATTGTGTTTTATCGAAAAAGAGAATATAGACTTGTGGAGAAGGGCGTGGGAAGGGTTTTAAAAATACCAGTTTTGAGTTTGATAAATCATCAAATAAACGACAAAGGGAAACTGACTAGGTCCTAAAGATTGACAAACTGGGGAACCGCCAACATGTAGTTTGACAGTTAAGTTGATAGAGCACTGGAATGATATTCCGGATATGTCGCAGGTTCAAACCTAGTCTATGCAATAGAGCCTTGCGAATGTGAGCTGATTAGTTATGCAAGACAACCGCCTCTTGACCTCTAGGTTTGGACCGATCAGTGGGTGCTTTCTATATCGGGTCTCATCATGGATGAATAAAACCTAGACCTGCTGTGAATTGAACAAAAAAGTCTGCGTTAACGCGTGCTCTGTAATGATATGTAATGCAATATGCCGGCAATAATAGAGCCGGCCACGGTCGTGTCTAGGTTTTGTAGATCTACATGTACATGTATGCGCACTCGCCGTTGTTGTATTTGAAAAACACTGCATCTGAATCGACCAATCACAGTTTTAGTCCTGATTTGGAAATGAAATGACGTCATGAACAAGTAATCGACTCCGATTGGCTGGTGTGCGATGTCGCATATATTTGCATTTCTAGATCAGACGTTCGACAGGGCTCCGTGGAGAATGGGTGATACTCGGACTAGTTCAAACCCTTCTCCAGTCAATGTCTTTGTTTGAAAGTTTATCATTTAATAGTTCAATAAAGCACTTGAATTTGATCGTTTTCTTTGTGTTCACACAAATAGATGTAGAATCTTCCGTACTAATGTGACAAAATGTACAAGTGAAGCGCAGGCCTACACCCGATTTCATGAAACTCATAAAGAAAACAAGCTTACGGTGGACCGTATAGCTACTTTGAAATTTCAACTGCACTATTCCAGGCTAATTCATAATTATTTCAATGCATTTTCCATTTACAATTTCACACACATTGTCTCGGTATTATAGACTTGTTTATGAAAGTTTTAAGAAAAGAACGCTTCTTATTTTGCAACCACTTGCGACGTGTTTTAAGCCTGTTTAGTTTAAGCAAGTTTCGTGAAATGGATAATACGGCGTGTCGCGAGTTGCGAGGTGTTACACGTCATAAATTGGGTTGCGCTGGTTGCGAAGCGTCAAAGCGCTTCGTGAAATATGAGGATAACTTTTTTAAAAAAAGGAACACAACCCAATTTATGAAGTATTAAGTTTATTTTGCTGTTCAAGTAGTGTTGCTCTTGAAACAAACAGCCAAACCATTTGTTTCCAGGTCAAAGGTGAAAACAGGTCAAATGTTTGAGTGTGCACAGTGAACACTGCCTTTTTGAGTTCCATATCTCAGACAACATTGTGGTTTATTTACTAAATGGCTTCACTTCAAACTGAGTCCATAATAAGTAAAAAAAAAAAAAAAAATCACAGTTGCAGTCAATCTGAGTCAACTTCCAAAGGTGGAAGTCAAGTTTGTTTAGTGAGTCATGATCCAGACTTGAAGGGAGTGTGAAGCCACTAGAGAGGTTTCCCAAGCGAATGGATAGGCCAAAGAGGATGAATCGCTGGACATGTGTCAATTGTCTGTGTGCCAAAGTAAGATTAGCTGATGATACGAGGCTTTTATTGGAGGCTACCATTTTGCTGTTCCGGTTAACTGAGCATATATTTGCTGAGCATACATGATGCGAACTAACGGAATGGTCAATACAATTATGGATAGCTAAAAATATGCAAACACGTATCCTTTCGGATGTGAAATATTACTTGACTTGTGAAAAGATTGAGTGAAATTGTCCACGCTTTATAATCTCTTCTACATTTGATGCAGCTCAAAGCCCCCTGATCAAGCCAGAGATCACTGCCAGCAAGAGGGAAGTCATCCAGGGCTGGGAAGGTTTTGAAGTGACATGCGAGGCGGACGTGCCGTCCAGAAGCCATCTGACACTCAGCTGGGAATACCCAGGAAAGGGGGTAAGACTCACCATGTTATTTCTAGCGCAGGACCAGTCGGGTTGAGTAGTTAGTCATAAAGAGTTGATCCTGCCCACCTATACAAAGATGAGAGGTGTATATATTTTTTGCATGCAAAGCTCCCGAGGTTTAGTTCATCAGTTTTTAAATTGACTTATTTATGGAGCCTTGTAATCTGCAGACTTATTTATGGAGTGGCGTGGTCCAGTCATGGGCGTCGCCAGGATTTTTTCTAGAGGGGGCAAAAAAGATTTTTGGCCAAAAAATGATTCTATTTCTCAACACATTCTCGATTTATCAGTTTTAGAGGGGGGCAGGGACATTTCCCCCCCCCCCACTCATTAAATTTACACCACTTTGTCTTCGCGCCTCTTTTTCTTTTCTTTTTTTTTCTTTTTTTTTCTTCCTTTGCCCGCCCCCTTGCGACGCCCATGGGTCCAGTGGTTACGTTGCTCGACTCACTTGCCATGGTGTACGTGGGTTCGAACCCTGATTGGGAACATGGCACTTGCCTTCTTGGGCAAACAAATTGACAACTATTGGCTCTCTCCACCAAGGAGTATAAATTGGTACCGGGTACCTGTGAAGGTAGAGACCAGATTGCACTGATCTCGAGTTGCTGCCTGAAAAAAATGGTCCAGTGGCCTGATGAACAGGGGAAATAATTATGAAGCATGGTGAGACCCTTGGTATAAATTGCTACATGTAAACACCACATTCTTATTGATTATTTTATATCTCAACTGAAATATATATTTCCTGGGTTTCTGGGTTTTCTGATAATATTGGCTTTGTCAGCAGCTAAGGCTTCAGGGGATTTTAGGTCAGCCACCCCAGACCCTGCTCTTGCAGCTTGGTCAGTGGTGGATACCGTACCTCACACACATGAGTTGTTTATTCCAAGAAACGGACAGATATGGCGGCCGCACAGTGGAAATCTGAAGTGGACTCAAAAATAAACTTTATTGAAGTCTAAAGGTCATTATTTATTGAATTCATTGCGACTTTAGAGGCTATAATTCCAGCCCAACTTTGTTATTTTTTTTTTTTCAATTGATGGAAAAGCAGTAAATTTCAAACTAAGACCCAGTGCGAAACGGGCGTTTGGTCAGTGCAGTGGCTACAACCGTTGCTACGGACATCACGTGAGGATCATGATGGCCTGCGATTGAGTGTTCGATTAGCCCCGCTGTCGTGGCTAACCCGTCTGCCTTTACCCCAGAGTTGTAATGAGTCACTGATTTTTGTGACTCAAGTCAAGTCGAGTCATTTTGAAGAAGTGATTCGAGTCGAGTCGAGTCATTAGGTCGAGAAGGTCGAGCCGAGTCGAGTCACAGTGTGTAGTCGAGTCGAGTCGAGTCAAGTATTTAGCTCGAGTCAATTCGAGTCACAAATATTTGAACACTATACAATTGATAAACTCAAGAGAGAAAGTCATTTTTTTTTGGCTGTTTTAATTTTACATTCGGGCTACTACATGTGGTGACACCATTTTGACTCTTGATGAAAATGAAAAAAGGGGGTGCCAGCTGATCGTCATTCAACTAATGGGGACACTGATCAAACCACGTGCGTATATGTATACATGATTCGTGTACATTCTAATGTGACGTGAACAAAAACCGGCACCGGTGTAAGTCATTGCAAATATTTTCGCAAAGTTTTGCTTTTATTTTTGGGACTCGAGTCTGATTAGCCTTCCTCAAGTCGAGTCGAGTCATTCTGATGAGGGACTCGAGTCGAGTCGAGTCATTTGCTCGCAGTGACTCGAGTCGAGTCAAGTCATTTGCCCTTAGGGACTCGAGTCGAGTCGAGTCACCAAAAATTGCGACTCGAGTCGGACTCGAGTCGAGTCATTGACTCGAGTCATTACAACTCTGCTTTACCCGAGTCAATCCGGGTGAGCTACTGGAATGCACCCTTAGATTCTATATGGTTGCAGAAGGCGTTGTTCAAAGCAGACGATCTTGGGCACTTACCAAAAATAGGTGGACTATTCATTATGGAATATTTGCCAACAGACACACGATTGTGCCGACGGGACAGCAGTTTTGCCAAAAAAAACCAACAACAACAAAAGGAGGCAGGTATCACATGATGTCTACGCCCTGATGCCTACGGCCCTGCCAGACAGAGCTAGAGAGGCGTCATGATCAGTTATTTGTTTGGAGGGGATTTTTGCTTTTTCTTTTCCCTTTATATATTTTTTCTTCCACTCACAGCAAGCCCCCTGTGTCCGCCACTGGTTTTGAAAATCTCTAAAATGCTCAGCATTTGTAAAATGTCAATACAGGGTCTGAAATATTTGTTTAACATTCAATACATTCCTTCAGAATTGCAAACACGCTATATTTTTGAATTTTTTGACATGAAGACAGAACATTGGACGATTCTCATGATTCATTCATGAATTAAATGTTATCTCATCGCCGTCTTTTATTACAAAATATTTTGTGGATTCTGATTACTTCAGCGAACAGTAGCCAAACACCAACAATGCATATGTGTGTTTTTGTTAGTTTCCCTGTATGACGTGCATGCTTATCAAACTTAGGTTGTGCCCTGAAAGAGTGTCTGAAATCAGTGGAAATTCTTGACATTGGAATTTCAGTAGCAGTATTCAAGGTGTATGGGATCATTTGCTTGTTTTGCAATTTTTTTTATTCATTTGCAGCAACACAATTGTGAAACTTAATTGTGGAAGTTTTAGCCCAGTGGTTACTGTACATTTTGAGCGGAAAAAAATGTAATTGCACAATTCTTTTTCGTCTTGTAACTGGATTCCATTGCTAATTGGTGAAAGAAGTGTGAATTTTGAGCAAAGTTCTCAATGTTCAATCAGTAGGTCCGTGTCCAGTATCCTCATGGCCGTTTTGGAGGATTTTGGAGGATTGAGGATGAATCGTGTTCGAAAAGGAGGAGGATTTTGGAGGATTGAGGATGATTGCATTTTTTGAGGCAGGACTGTCTGATGGTTTTGAAGGATTGAGGTGCTGGGTTTCCTGCATTTGAACATAAGTGCAACATTTTGGAGGATTTTGGAGGATTGATGATGGTTCCTAGCAAAAAGGGCCTAGGGAGTTTACCGGAAGGGTTAAAACATTCATCTTGTGTCGTTAACCACCTTCATGCATATAGTTTCCTCAAGCTGCCAGTATTCTGCCTAGGGAGCAACGCACCGTTACCTAAAGGACTGATCTGATGTCTTGGCTATAGAGCTTGAGGATTATGGTTGGGCCTACACATGTATACTGCACAAATCCTTTTCCAACAATGTAGCCTTAAATAAGGGAATAAATGTGTGCTCTGGAGGTTTTTATCACTCTGTTTAAGACCACTTAGAGTCTGGGTGCTGATAATTACCCGAGCCGGAGGCGAGGGTAATTATCAGCACCCAGACTCTAAGTGGTCTTAAACAGAGTGATAAATACCGACGGAGCACATATTTATTCCCATTCATAAATACCTTTTCGGTTAGAAAAAATCATATAATTCGTTCAAAACATCCCGATTTTGTTCAACAAATTCACTTTATGCTTTTTGAAACATCCCTCTTGCAAAATAATGGAGTGTTCAGTTGGCGAGTAAGATGTAAACAACCCTTTTATGGAGATTGACGCGCGCGTATCATGTTCTGCGCGATGTCGCGCAGAACGCACCTGGCGCGTTGCGTTTTGAATTTAGAACTATAAAATTCGGACTCCCTGGTAGTGTTGCGCATGCCTACGTGAGGATTGTGAACGTTCAACCAATGGAACGACAAAAGGCACTGGAATTTTAGGAGTCCACATTTTATTGTGACACTGGAAAAGTGTTTAAGACCAGCTAGCCATGTCTTTATCATCCGTTTAAGACCGGCCACGTGACGGGCTCTCGACCAATAGGAATAGCTAAACTGTCTGAGGTATTTATGAATGTGCAATAAAATATTGTTGCTCACATGCACAGTGAACCAGGCGAACTAATATACTACCAGTGAGTGGTGTGGAATTAAAACTAGTTTCCAGAGGCGATGTGTGGAATATTCTGTCTTCCTGATGTCAGGCTAAGGGAAAAAATAAAATGCTCCCTGGATTACAGAGGCAGGCCTAGGTTTACTCTAAGTTTTACTATACAGCTTGAGCAGGGGGCCATGCCCCACCCCCAATCCCCGCCCATCCCCCATCCCCCCATCCCCCTCCACTGCGTGTGTTACTCACAGTGACTGGACACTTCCTGTGAGCAAGTGTTGTATGACCAGCAAAATGACCATGGCATATACAGGTAGTCTTGTATAATGGATAGATTGGTACAACAAGGAGCGCCATCCATGGGTACAACATGTATTTTATAAGTTCACTGCCAGAACTGTGTACTAGCTCTCAATGGTTTGTAAAGAGTTGAATGCCATTACAAGTTTGAAAGTGCACTTTGATAATTGTTCCTCTCTGTAAGCAAGTACGGTCCTACCTTCATTTTACCTTGACTTACGGTTGCCTTGACTTAGAACCAAAATCCCCTTCATGATCTTCATCCTGTTCCTGTAATGTATCACCTTCACTCCCCCTCCCATGTCTTGTTTCCATACATCTGATACACACTCAAATGAAGGAAGTGCCATTGGACCCTAAGGATGTCGGTAATAAGCTAAGACTATAAAAATGTTCCAAGGGGAACCGAATGTATGAAGATGAATACCATCCTTCACCTTCATGTTGACCTTTACACAAGGTTTGTCACGGCATTTTTTTGTTTGTTCGTGATGAAAAAGAAAATGGAAATGTTTGCTCAAGAAATCATGTGTGCAGTTGGTTCTAATTTGGCATATGCAAGGGATATGCCAAATATATCGAATATTCCTAATATTCAAATACTCAATGATACACCGAAGATCCGAATGGCGTCTTTCCGTTTTTGGAAATTTGAAAATGTGAGTGATCCCCAGAAAGTGAAGAAAAACATCCTTGTTATTTTTATTGTATAAGTTGTGTGGTTTATTGTTTGTCAACAGGCACGACTTTAGAGCTTCTGTGAGGACTATTTGCTCTATCTACCGGTACATCATTAAAAATCCTTCAAATGTTTCACAAAAACTATATCGATGCATACTGTTCTTAATATTTTAATAAACTCATTGTCAATTTTTGACAGGCAAGTGGACACAAAATCCCATTTTGATTTCTTACTGTCGCATTCGATTTAGATGGGCACACGGCAAATGTAAAATTTTAATCAGCCTTGCTGTGAATATTCAAATTTTTGATCGAATCCAATATTGAATAATCAAATACTATATTATTTCAAAATACACAGCCACTAACGTGTGTATTATAACTCACATTACAAGAAAAGGATGTTGCAAAATTTTAAATACACAGCATTTGAAAATTTCCTCATACTGTACACTGATGAAAAAAATCTTTTTTCAATAAATTTTAAAATCATATAAGTTTTTATTTAAAAAAAATCAGTCATAAAATCTTTAGGGGGATATATTTTTGTAAGTTGCATTACTGTTAGTTACATTACAGTTTGCCCGCAAATCTACTTGAAACATATAAGAAACTAATAATCAAACAAAAAACTCTTTTCCTATTATATATGAACGTTTCTCTTTGCCAAAATTAAAAAAACTCACAATAACACTTGAATTTCGCATGTACACACAAGGTGCCCAAAATGACTAGCTAAATGTATCATTTTAGCCCTCTCAAAAAAAAAGAAAGGTTTAGACAAAACAACACACTTAACCATATCCCATCTCATTGCCACATCACTCAAATGAATGGTCTTGTTGTCACCTTTAATTTGATACCACATTTGCGGTTGTGATGCTGGTAGTTTTGAAGATTGCATACATTTTCCGTTTTCAACATGTCCACTTTCTCATGGAATTGTCCTTTTTTTCAGTCGAATATTTTCCGAAGGGTGTTTTTAGTGAAAAGCAAGTATAGAGGCTGGCCTAATGGCCTGTGTTGATGGTGTATGGTTCTTTCCCCCTATAGATTGCCAGCTTGGAGTCAAACTACAAAGAGGAGACCTCACATCAGATCAGTGAGCCGCACAGAAACCACCGCAAATTGAGCACCAAGCTACTGGTTGCGAACGCGACCGTTTTTGACAATGGGACATTCGTCTGTGTGGCCAGCAGTCACATAGCCAAGTCATCTGCAGAAGTGAACATCACTGTTTTACGTAAGTTGGTCAGGCTTCCTGTTTTTACTCGTCAAAAGTTTTTCAGCATGCTTCAAATTAGGGCTGCGACTCAACATTGAATTTATAAACTTGTAGCTCAACCCAAACTTTTCTGCAGCGGTATTTCAAAGTTTAAAAATTGTCACTTTTTACGGTATGAGCAAGAAACAACAAAGTATGTGTTGGCCATTCAATAAATTTGGGGTCCACTTTTCTCCCTGTCCCTGTTATGCCTGACATTTATGATTTTAAGATTCTACGTACATTCCTGAATGTAGTCATCCTCCAAGAGTGATATGAAAAGTAAACTACCTGCCCAACAAATACAAAAATCATTTGGAGTCATTCTTAATGATACTTGATTGGCAAATTACAAAGTTCAGAGGTGCCGGGTAACAGGGACAGGAAAAATGTCACACTTTGGACCCTAAAAATGACGCATGTATGCAAATACATGTATTACACATACTGGCAACACACAGTTTAGAACGAGGCCAAAAAAGATGGCTAAGTGACAACCAATGACAATTGCCTTTTGACATTTGATGGTTCATTTGAAATTGGATTGCGTTTGTCAAGAAATTTTACTTAAAAAGAGAGAGTTCCATTTTCCAAACATTTAGAAAAGCTATAAAAAATCTACAAATCTTTTGAGAATATGGTAATGAAATAGGTGGAAGTATTTCTTAATAACAAAAAAGATTCCAATGCATTTAAAAAAATAATTTCACCATCTTGATACCCAGCGGGAGACCACTTGTTCAAGAACGGGCCGCCCCACCTCTTGGAAGTCCCCCGTTATCTGAACCTCAGCGAGGGGGAGCTGCTAGAGCTGAACTGCTCGGGCGCTTACACCTTGGAATGGAGCTACCCCCAGAGCATCCAGTCCCACGTGGTCCTGAGCTCCTGGGCCTGCCCGATGTGCCCGCCGGACTCACGGCACACCAGCATTTTGAGGGTTGAGGACGTCGGTTACAGTGATGCGGGGAGCTACCAGTGCATCTACAGTCGGTACATGGATCATATAAACAGCGGCACGGCGACCCAGGTAGATGTGGCTGTTACGGGGACAGGTGAGTCCAAACACATCATTACCCCCTCCCCCACCCCCACCCCAAAAAGAAATGTGTGGAGAGAAGGCAACAAAGCTATGTTCACTTTCAGAAGTGAAAGGAAGCTTCCATACTTTTTTCAGGGAAACCCATGGAATCAGGTAGGGACTGAAAACCAAATCCACTTAGGCCTGGACGGGATTCGAACCCCGGGTCACAGAGGTGAAGGAGAGGGAAAATCCTTCACTGACGTACGATGTACGTATTTGATAAACTCTGTATACTCGGTGTGGTCTGAAGGCTTGCAAATTCACAAGCTTACTAGGGTGGGACTCGAACTCAGGACCTCCTGCTTAGTAGTGCAGACTTCATACCACTCAGCCAACAAGCAAAACCCAGTATTGAAGGGCAAAACCCAGTATTGCATTTACATTACTCTGATGCAAATCTGTCTTATAAATAGGAGAGAAAATGACAAAAAATAAACCCTGACTGTGCCAACCTGACTCCCTGTTGTTAACGCGACTCCCAAATGATAAATATATATATTTTTTTCCAAGCAGATGCCAGTCTTCTCCAAGATGGACCCCCTCTCATCCACACCGACTCCCCCGCCATCGTCGCGGCCGAGAACGCCACCGTCGAGGTCAGCTGCACGGGGGCCTTCACCCTGGAGTGGCTGTACCCGGACGCGGTGGCGAGCCGCGTCAAGCCCACCTCTGTCGCGTGTCTCACCTGCCCGAGGGCGATGCGGCACAGGAGCGTCCTGAGAATCGAGAACGTGGTGTACACCGATACGAGTCTCTACCGGTGCGTGTATGGGCGGCACTCGGACAGCATCAGCAACGAGACTGCATCAGATGTTTACATTTACGTGAAAAGCCCGAGTGAGTCACCCTTTTACTTCTGTTTTCAATTTTTTTTCCCCCTCAACATTTGAGCTTGTGTTATAAAAAAGATTTCCTTGTAATTTCTGCTTCAGGGCCTACTGATGTTGCAAGTCCTGTAGGTTATTTTGGATGCCCCATTTTGTTACGAAAATGAGTGTAAAAGTATAAAAGTTTAGGAACTTTGATGCCCAGTTTTTTCCAAAATCAAGTCAAGTTTGGACAACTAATGTTATATTACTGAAGATGCAGGCATCGTTTCTGAAGTAAAGCACAAGTTATCCAGTCTCAAGTCAGTTTACAAGCTTTTCCGAAACTGGCGTTCTATGGAGTACCGAAGTGAATATGTCACGTGCACAAAATGTGTGTGAAAGACATTAGCGTCGTGATTCAGCCCGTGAACCAACACGCGCGCTTACTCCATTCGTTTGCACTACACTTTCTGGTCCTAAATGACGTCACACTTTGGCACTCCATTGTCAGTATTTATCCCTCATTACTTGGACCTTACTCGTGCTTGCAAATGTGGTTGACTCTTGATTTGACTTGGGGTTGACTTGTGATGGATTGGACTAAAGCTCGGGTTCTGTGTAGTCTCTAGGGCTGTGCAGTGGAACCCGGTACCGGAGTACCCGACTGCTGATGTCAGGAACCGGTTCCAGATTATGGAATTGGGTACCAGCAACCAACTTTACAAATTACTAAGTGACTTCTCAGGCAATAAAAAAAGATAGGTTTTGAATGTCATCTGTGGAGGATTTTACTAATGAAAACCAGGCTACATGGGAAAACAAAACATATTTCGAATTTTAGGACACTCGTGAAAGTTGCAATTTACACCGTACAGTTGTAAAGCTTACTGTGCACACTTGTTTCTTGCTGTATTGGCGCACTGATGTGGCAGTATTATCATGCTGATGACCTTTATGAACAATCTGAACAGCAACTTCCGAGATTTGAATTTCGGGTTGGGTTTCTTTCACGGGTACCCGAGTACCTGTGTCGTTTTCAATCGGGTGCCTGGTCCCCGCACTACCCGTAAGTGCGCACCCCTAGTCGATTCAGGGGACAAAATGTTGGTCCTCAAAACTCAAGCTGTTGGAGTGCCAGTCGTCCGTCCAGTCACACACGCTTCCTTTCAAAACATTCTGCAATCGCTTGCGCAAGCTACATGTAATGCAGGACCTGTTATCTAACAGTGAATCTCACAGTGAATCGGATACATCTTAGGGCAAGTTCGCGCAAGGACTAAAGTTAACCATTGGTCGACTAACGCTTGCCCGAACTCTGTCTAGTCGACGATGGTTAACTACGCTAGTCGACTATTTGGAACCAACCTACTGGGGCTGGTTGCTTCGCTGGCAACCATAGCCGCACGCGTTCATATACAGCAGGGAGCCAGGATCCAGACATTTTGCAATGACATTTTGACCAGCGTTCGACTAGAGACGTTCGCACTTTGCTATTAGTGCGCAGGCGTAAGGTACGTCACAAATCAACTACTAGTCGACTAATGGTCCTTGCCCGAACTTGGCCTTTTATGCAGGACCAGTCTTTTGTTGACAGCTTGGCTCAAAATTTGTTGCTTGAAGTACGAAAGACAAGGCCAAAAAAGAAAAAAAAAACGCCACTGCAAATGATGTAAACAAACCGGGTTTTGCAAATTTTCTCCGTAAATGTCAGACATTATGTGGATTTCCTGTGCCCGAGATATTTGAAATAGGTCGGTGAACAAGCTTAAACATGAAATATACGTGTATATCTGTAAAAATCTTGCGAAATGTGCACTTTTTTTTAAGGCACATGAAATGCCATCAAGTTCTTTTAATGCAGAATTCATGTCCCACCAAGGTCAAACATGAGGCTTTGGTTTCCAGCCCGAATAGCGGTGACTAATTTGGCCTTTTCCCAACAAATCTGGCACACATTTCCTTCCTATACGCAGAAATATTCTTTACTTGCAAATTTTGGCTGTTGAGGCAAACATTATTGACAGTCCGATCGCGCAATGATGAGCAATACATTTTTGTACATACACAAAATGGCAATAATTGAGAAGTGTTTATACATGCTAAATAAAGGTTATCAAATCATTGTATTTAGTATATCTTTGTCTTCATTCAAGGCGTATGGGATCATAAGCTTTTCATGTATTTTGTTCATTTTCAATAATAACACCACTCAAAACCCAAAGAAGAATGCTCAAAACCTAACCTGTTGAATTTTTACCTCGGTGGATATTACACTTTTCCGTCAAGAAAACAGTGAAAAACCATGAACCATCTTTTGATCACGCAATACGATTTTGTCAATATCACTCCTTTATTCCAAAAATCAGTCAATTGACTGATCGTTGGAAGTTACCTACATTTCTTGATATCTTCTAAATGACAGCAAGCCAGATGAGATAATTTCACGGGGTGTTTAGTACCAGTACGATCTTTAATGCTAGTAAGCTTTTTGATAATATTTCGGTAGGTTACTTTTGGGATAAATGCAAATGATCCTACCGGTATATGCCGTATGAAATTTACAGTGTATTCAACAATGCTGGTCATTACATAATATTTTGTTCCACATTCAGGTAATATTTTTCTACCACTGCCCAACGATGAAAACACCGTCGTCATCTTCAGAGAGGAGCCTTTTGTCATACCGTGCCGCGTCACGGATCCCGAAACCACTGTCATGCTAACCTATGAGCAAGACGCGGTGAGAGTAGGGGTGGGGAACGGGGTGGTGTACAACCCCCAGGGTGGGTTCTCAGTGACCAGCAGGGACTGGGACGGCGTAGTGGCTTGTGAAGGGAACGTCGACGACCAGTGGCAGATACAGCTATTTGAAGTCCACTTGGCAGGTAGGCTATAGTTGCAACTTTTAAAATTGAAAGGATTGTAGACAAACTACTGAAAAGTGAATCTTTCATACGTGTGTTAGCTACGGAATCCAGTTAAAGGTAATATACAACATTGCATACATCAAAAAACATAACTACCAAATGATTATGAAATGCCTTACTTGATTGTAAGTGTATAAAATAGTCTCAAGCAGCCTGTGAAATCTTGGCACCTGGTGTGCTCTCATTTCCAAGAAAAGTGGAATTGTTGTATTTTCTTGGTTTTTTTTTTTTTTGGTCGTCTGCAACCCTCTGAAAGTTGTTTTGGGCAGAAATGGATCGCTTTGCGAGTAGACTGGCTCCTGGTCCGTAAATTATCAATACTGATTGTGGGGCTGGAACCAGTCAACCCCTGGAGAAAGGAATTGTTGTCTGGCAGCCAATAATTCAAAAATTGAAAAGTAACAATTAAGTACCTAACAATCGGTTGATGTCTCATTCAAAAGTGGAAAACTTTTGTATAGCTAGAAAAATAATGATTTAGAAAAGTAATCTGTTTTCAGAATGAAACGGGAAAAATAGCACGGGGAGTGCAACTTCAAAATGTTCACATCTTAATTTATCCATCCCATGCAGACACCAAACAGCTGTTCTTCCCCGCCCGCGACCAGAACCTCGTCGCCAGCAACACGGAGCCCCTCGTCATCCCTTGCCGCGCCACCAACGTGAGGACCGAGGTCTCCCTGATGGTGGAATACAACACCTTGGTCAACGTCGACGGCGTCACGGTGACCTACGACCCGGACGTGGGATTTAACATCACGGCCAACCAGGAGCTGTTCCACGGATATGTGTTCTGCGAGGGCCAGCTGGGGAAGGTCCAGCAGCAGCAGATGTTCATCGTGACTTACGAAGGTTTGTAGTCATATTTTTTCGTAGATTCAGAACTGTCCAAGAGCTAGCAAAAAAAAAATCATGAACTTACTCGGATTGGATTCGAACCCACGAAACTCTGTTTACTAGTGTAGAGTGTTGTAATGCACACAGTATCAGCACTCAACTCATATTACTTCATCAGCTTGGCTGTATCTGAAAATATTCAACAGCATTACAAAAATGCTCACAAGCTGAAAAAGTGCTTAGTTTTGAAAAAAATGTACAGTGCAGAGATATGTAGAATGGACAATTTGGTATTGTTTGTTTGGACGTTTGACAGTGTTGTGAAATTTCTAAATCAAACAGTTTCAATTTTCATATAGTTCAGTTAGTTCAGGGAACTACAGTATTCTAGGCTATTTCTAATAAAGAGCAACTCCCATTAGACTAGAAAGAATTTCTACCAAAACAACACTTTGCTTTAGTCAAATACATGATTGAAATTTACTGGTAACTTGGATATTAGACTTTATGCAGTCTTTGTACCCCAATTTATTGCTGTTGGTTTTTTTTCTAAAACAACCATATTTTCATGACTTTGTTTGATGTAGTGATGTGGGCACATTTGTGACAATTTCTTTGAGTGATACATGTACAAGCACTTAAAGCTATAGTCCATCATTTGTAATTAGTGCATTTTGTTCGTTTGAAGCAACAAAAGTGTTCAAAATCTAATGAAGGATACTGAACAACTTACTTGATGAAGTTTCAGCTTAGCTTCAGCTTCATATTCCGAGAAAAACAGCATTCTAGGATCTCAATTTAAAATCAAAAGTTGCTAAATCATGTTTCGAATTGTTTTGAATTGCAGCTTTATGCGATGTTGCGCACTGATCCAACGAATTATAGCAACCGCGCGCGCATGTGCGTCGTTCCAATGCTTGTGCGCGCTGCGCCGAATAACAAAACGAACAACTAATTTAAATTTTCCTACGGTGCTTCTTAAGAAGCACGGTTGGAAATACCTTCTTTCGTTGATTTCTTCAAAATGAGAGCTTGCCAGAAAGGATAATTTCGCAGGGAGTTTAGTCCCCTTACTATCTTTCAACCAGTATGTTTTTCAACAATAATTACGCCGGTTACTTTTTTGGATAGCTGCAAATGATGGACTCGGGCTTTAAGAAACTCGAAACATCCATGTGCACTCACAACCCTTCCCGGTTTACTCCAACTGCAACGCAACAAGGAGTGTTGAGCAGTATTGATGCAGATGCAGATACATCGTCATTTCTCTGACCATGTGTCATATGTTTGGAAACCAGCTCAAATCTTTTTTAAATGTGGAAATGCTGGTTATCGAGTAACTTCCTATGGGTGTCCAAAAAAAACAAACTGCAGAATTTAATTTCATGTTTTTCATTCATCATTTGAAGGTTTTTAGGTTTGGAATAGTACTTGTATACCATTTGGAAACTGTTACAATGTACATGTCTTGTACTTTTGTGCACTGTCACTCTTCGCACTCCCAAATGTCAATCACTCATTCATAATTAGTGACTTCATCCCTGACACAAGTATAGAGAATCCCCAAAGAGTAGAGAGATCTCACCACTTTACACAACAAGTACATGCACTTCACATTGTTAGGAAGTGCAGTAGCATAGCTAACCATTAATAAAAAGGTCAAAAGGGAAAGTAGTGTCTATCTGTGACACAAGTACATGCATATACTGAAACCCAAAGGAATAGAAATCTGTGTACACGCACTTCAAAGTGTTAGGAAGTGCAGTAGCATTGCTAACCATTAATAAAAAAAACCCCCAAAGGTCAGCGATAGGAACAAAGGGAAAAGGAAGGAGGTAATTACGGCCGGTTGGATCTATATCTGCAGATCCTGCCCGGAAGAGAATTAAATTCCTGGAGTCTGCTTTGTTCCATATCCCATCCAAAGACCGCAGTGTAACAGTAAACATTCGGTGCAGGCATGTGTCAGGCAATAATCGCAGGTCACTGGTGTCATAGTGTTGCCACCGAGTCCACTCCAATTTTGGGATTACGACTTCCTGACGACATTTTCATCGTTCTAAGATGTGTCAATGGGAAATAAAAGGTTCTAAAGTTTTGGATATCGGTTTGCTTGTCAACGTGTTTGATCTATTACTCCCGGTACTGCCTGACACTGCCCTACCTTTTTCTAACCGTACCGCCCAAAACTGCACTAGAGCAGTGTGGTTTATAAATGTATTCTTTAGGGAATATACACAATGTGATACAATGTAGTGCATGTACCAATGGTTAAATTTTCTACTGTTACTAATGTATAGTGAGGATGTACCATGCAGTGGGTCTAGCAATGTCTGGATAGGAAATGGCATTGCAAAATGTACTTGTTTGGTTTTCCAAAGCATTACTACAGACAGGTGGCTTCTTGCTTTGTGGCGTTCTGGCATGTTTTGGGCACAACAAGTGCATAAAAGTTGGACACATTTTAACATAGGACTGGATAGCTCAGTTGGTAGAATGCTGGTATGGTCTTCCTGAGGTCGCGGATTTGGTCAAATCTTTGTTCAATGTTTAAATAACTGGACTGGGACTGGATTCATAAAACCTTTCTGCAAAAAGTCAATAAAACAAGTCAAAAATTATAAATTTCTAACTATTTTGTTTAAAGGGCCCATGAAGTGAATATTTCTTAGGAACTTATTTTTTGCTCCTTTCTGATCCTCTTAAGTGTATGGAAACTATTTGAAATCCCTTTTTGGTTAATTTTACTGAGAAGTGCACTTCTTTAAACATTTAAAATTGTCCATGCTTTTTCTGACAAATGAGGGCACTGTTGCTGTGATGTCATTTCAGTAAGACACTCTTCATATAAGGTGTTTTCTGTTGAAATTGTGTACCCCAAAATTGCTAATTGAAAACATTTGTGCGAAAAGTTCAAGTTTGCTATTTGGCTTACTGCCGTGAACTGACACAACAACGAATCACTAAAGAAAAGAAAGTTTACGACTGCAAAGTATCCAAAATTCTGGCAACTTTTTGTGCACAAACCAATTGCAACATTGAGGTTTCTGCCTGATATATGACATCACACTTTTGCTCATGAATATGGAAATTTGCATTAGCATATACACCAAAAAGGCACCAAAATACCCTTGAAAAACAGCAAAATGAAAATGGAAAATAAGGTTAAATGGGATACCAAGGTGCATTTCAAGGACTGCGCTAAAAAAAATAACATTTCATGGGCCCTTTTGTGATCCGTGGACAAAATTATAAGACTGTGTTTGTGTTTAAAAGTCCGTAACCGGAAAAGAACATGAGCGATTTGAGTGATTCTTTTACCAAAACAAAGCTTATTACTTGGACTTTCACATCCTAGATATTGAACCCACTACATGCAGAACTTCTTCAAGCAATAGGGGGGCCATTTGGGTGTCCTTTTATTTTGACTCACCCTGCATAACTAAATGCACCCTATAATGTTCCCTCTATCTCTATCTCTCTCCTTCCTGGCTACAGTCAGCGGCCCGCTGGCCAAGCCGGAGATCTTCGCCAGCAAGACAGAAGTCATCCAGGGCTGGGAGGGGTTTGAGGTGACATGCGAGGTGGATATGCCATCGAGGAGTGCACTGGAACTCACATGGGACCATCCAGGAAAAGGGGTAAGCCAGGACCGAGTTCCGCAACGGGTTGGATTTATTTCTTGATGACTCATGCTTAATACACAGAATCGGTCACAACTGTGTGGTATAGAGTCGAGCACAGTGTGTACGTTTCTTGTAATGATGTACATGATATCACCAAGGGCGGATCCAGAAACAGATTTTTTTTTTAGGGAGAGGGGAAGTGGGGGGGGGGGGGGGGGGGGAGCTGGGGCTGGACTTGGGTTGCTACGATTTTAATGTTGTAGTTGAGTCCATCACAAGTCCTTTCATAAGTCCAGTCACAAGTAACGGGATGAACAATGACAAAGGAATATTTTATTTCTTTCTGGTAATGAAACCAAGGATTCCTTAAAAGTACCCTAAGCACTGTAGCTCGAAAGCCTGAAGAAACCTGTAGAGAGAAGACAATGAGAAGAAATTACAGTTTTTGAGGTGTGAGGAAAAACCCAGAGGAATATTCTGAGGGAAACCTACGGAATCAGGTAGGGACTGAAAACCCAATCCACATATTGGCCCGGGTGGGATTCGAACCCGGGTCACAGCGGTGGAAGGCGAGGAAAGTACCGCTACGCCAACCTGACTCCCCTGTTGTAACAATTGCTTATGTAACAGTTCATTTGAATAGCTAGTGACTTGACTTGAGACTGAAGGACTTGTGATGGACTTGTGATGGACTTGTGATGGACTTGTAATGGACTTGTGACGGACTTGTGACGGACTTGTGACGGACTTGTGACGGACTTGTGACGGACTTGTGACGGACTTGTGACGGACTTGTGACGGACTTGTGATGGACTTGTGATGGACTTGTGATGGACTTGTGCTGGACTTGTGATGGACTTGTGATGGACTTGTGATGGACTTGTGCTGGACTTGTGAGGGACTTGTGATGGACTTGTGAGGGAGTTGTGAGGGACTTGTGAGGGACTTGTGATGGACTTGTGAGGGACTTGTGATGGACTTGTGATGGACTTGTGATGGACTTGTGATGGACAGGGGCCCGACTACAACACTATGTGACATAGGGTGACCGTTTTCTCCCCTGTTTTCGTATTTTCCTTTTTTTTCCTGCTAACCCATAGATGCATGTACCGGTAGCATCAATTTTAATACAACAGCTACATGTACCTTCACAGGCCTCTTCTGGTTTAATTACTTAAAACATTTTTTGTTTTAAATTGGCACTCATTTTTTGAGGGGTGGGGGGGGGGGAGGCTTGGCCTCGTTGGTTCCCCATCTCCCCTCCATCCATCTTTGATTATCACTTCAGTAATGCTTTAATTCAGGTTGTTTGATTAATTACTGTAACATTTTGTGCTTTGTAACTCGCAATTGTCATTGATCAAACACAGCCGAAATGAACACATTGTCTCTGTGGGCACAAATTCTTAACAGGAAATGCCTATTGTGTAGTAATGATCTGGAGTTTCCATGACTAGTACATGAAATACATGAAATGCACATAGTGTGACCTATACCAAAAGTCACTTTTGCATGGTAGAAACGAATGAATTTCCAGGTGAAGAATAACTCAAGACAATAAAGCGTCCAGTTTGTGATGAAAAATTTGATATGAAAGTACAGTTTTTTTTTACTTCAGCTTACACGTACCTATTCCGTTGCCAAAAGGGTATCCCTTTGAAAAACAGGCGTTCGAAACTTTTTATTTCAGTTCCAAGATTCCGATCCCTGCAACGATGATGAATTGTGAGCACATGGCCACAGCTGTTCCTATCCAGCCTGTTCAGAATATACATAAATGCTTTGGTATTATTTCAGATAGTAGGCGCAGCTATTGTTGACCCCTAATCTGAGTTTCTCATTTGTCATTCTGGTTGGAGTTTAATTACAATTCCAGTAATGTTTTTCACATATCTGAATGGACTCCCAACAAGTAAATGGTTGGCAGGACGCATCACGGTAGTGATATATAATAGGGATAAGAATAAGATACGTTAAAGTGCTGCGATGCATCGTAACTTTAATACAAGTTTCATGAAATAAGCTCCTGCATTTTAACAGCCTAAGGTAACGTCTTACTTCTTTAAACCCTAGATTCATGAGTTGGAGTCCAACTACCGGGAGGAGAGGACCTCCCTTCTGATCACGGAGCCGTCCAGCGTCTCCCGCAGGTTCAGCAGCACGCTCTTTGTGCTCAACACCACCCAGTACGATAACGGCACGTACTTCTGCACGGTCCGGGCCAGTGACGAGACCGTCACGTCGGACATTAATATCTACGTCTTATGTAAGTTGTTGTTTGCTTTCTTGAATGGAGATAAATATTTAAATCAATGTTTGTTTGTTTTTTGAGAGAGAGAATTGCTGTAATGCCATTTTCTGGGTACGACCACCTGAATGGCACTGCAGAGGTTGCAGGTTCATAACCCGCTCCAGTCAAGTTCTTTGTTCAACTTTTAAAAATTATCAGACTGTACCTTGTCAGTTTCCCTTGGTGGTTTATTCTGAATTTGTTCAGAACTGATTAGTCTAAAAACAACCTTTAAAGGGCCCACATAATGTATTATTTGTTTTAATGCAGTCCTTGTTAATGCACCTAGCTATGCGTCCATTTAACCCTATTTTCAATTTGCACTTTGCCATTTAAAAAGGCATTTTGGTGCCATTTTGGTTTTTATGCTGAAGAAAATTTGCGTATTCATGAGCAAAAGTGTGATGTCATTTCAGGTAGAAACCTCAATGTTACAGCTATTTCAGCACCAGAATTTTGGATATTTCGCTGCTGTAGATTTTCTTTTCTTTGGTGATTTGTTGTTGTGTCAGTACATGACAGTAAAAAGCCAGCGAGCAAGGTTTTCTCACGTATGTTTTAAAAAAGCAAATGTTGGGTTCACAATTTGAACGGAAAACCCCCAAACTGAACAGTGTCTTCCTGAAATGACATCACAGCAACAGCGCCCTCATTTAAAGAAGTGCACTTTTCGATAAGATTAACCAAAACGGGATGTCAAACAGCTTTCATACATTTAAGCTTTCATGCATTTAAGGGGAGTAGAAAGTTGCACAAACCATTTTCCTAAGAAAAAAAATCATGTTATGGTCCCTTTAAACACCATGTCTTGTGATTGCAAACAGTTGTACTCTCCATTATGCGAAGTGCACATGGCATTCATTTTTGACACTATTCGTTTAATCTAGCTGGGACGCATCTGTACGAAGTCGGTCCGCCGCATCTCGACGCCGCCTCGTCGCCACTGACCGTCACCAAAGGCATGGCACTGGAACTGTCCTGCTCCGGCGCTTACACCTTGGAGTGGAACTACCCCCAGAGCATCCAGTCCCACGTCATGCTGTCCTCCCGGGCCTGCCCGGTCTGCTCCACACGCACCCGGCACACCAGCGTCCTGCGCGTGGCGGACATCGGCTACGGCGACTCGGGCAACTACCAGTGCGTCTACAGCCGCTACATGAATCACATCAACGGCGGCACGGCTGTCCAAGTCGATGTGCAAGTCACCGGAAATGGTGAGCTTTATCTCAAGATATGTATTGATGTCCACCTGCCGGCTTGCATTTCGTACATTTGACGATTGATTTGAGGAGAAATGGAATCAATGTACACCATAATTATACACCTAATCATAATAGTGCCGCGGGCATGGGATTTACAAAATTAGCAAAAAGACGTCAGAGTCACCTTGACCTAGGCTTAGAGGCCAGTCCAGGGCTGTGACTCAGAGAGTTTGCGTAGTGAAAAAGGGTAATAACCCCTTTCTGTCTTGCACCTTTTTATTCACACAAAAAAAATATAAAAAACAATTAGTACACCAGCTGCTCTTGAAAAAGTTTGGTTCTTATCGTATGCAAATGTGAGTGTTAAAGGTAGAGTAAATCATTTTGCAGCTATCCAAAAAGTAACTGACAAAATAATTGTTGAAAATCATACTTGGTTTAAAGATAGTAATGGCACTAACCTCCCTGTGAAATTATTCTTTCTGGCATGCTGGCATTTTTGAAGAAAACAATACAAGAAGGTCATTTCCAAAAATGCGTCTAGTAATGTCCGTTAGTAGTTGGTTTGTGATTTGGCGAATCCCTGAACTGGGCACGTGCAAGCATTCACACGACGCACACGTGCTCGCGGTTGCCATTATTCGTCAGTTCAGTGCATGACATCGCTTATTTAGTGGTTTTGAGAACTAATGTTTTATAAAATATTTTTTGACACCAATTTCATAGATGTGTCATGTAAAATGTCAGTTCTTTTAGCTGTACCGGTATCGATGGCCCAAAAGCCTTTCTCTTATACATGTAGGTGTAAACCTGTAAAATAGAACCTGTTACTTATGGAATTGTATTCTTCCTAATTGACCACCAGTAAAAGCTTCACATTAGCCCTAACCCTCCTCAATTCTCCAAAATCAACCGGGTGCTTTTGCCTGATTTTGGAGGATGGAGGCTGTGTGCCTGTAAAGCGCCTGTTTACTTTGGCGGATGCATTGTTGTCAAGGTCTTAAGCTGTACCTTGTATTGTTTATGCTTAGCCATGCATAATTGTAGGCCTACATTATGCTGGGCATCATCTGCACTGCCTCTGGATATCATCCGCACCGCGTCAACATCTTAAACGTAGAAAAGGACTTTTGCAGGAACGAAGCATCCAAGTCCAAAGTCCAAAGGATGTATTATGGTCATGGTTAACAAATAGAATCATTTGTTTTTCTAAGATTCCCGTCTTCTGCAAGTCGGCCCGCCCCACATCCACTCCAACTCCTCCGAGCTGGTTGTCTCTGAGAATACCACCACCGAGTTGACCTGCACCGGTGCCTACACCCTGGAATGGCTGTACCCGACCAGCGTGGCACCCCGGGTTGTCCTGACATCGGTGGCCTGCCCGACCTGCCCCCAGTCGCTGCGGTACCGCAGCGTGCTGCGAATTGATCAGATGGAGTACGGCGACACGGGGTTGTATCGGTGCGTGTACAGCCGACACCTGGACAGCATCACCAATGAGACTTCCTCAGGGATTTATATATTTGTCAAGAGTAAGTATCAAGTGCACAATAATTGACATGAAAGAGCAAGTTGAGCGAAGACTACGGTTAACCATAGTTCTGCCAATTTGGCACCAACGCAGTTGGGCTACTCTAGTCGACTATTTAGAACTGGAGCCCAGGGCATGGTTGCTGGATACCAATACCCACTGGCATCATAATGCAGAGCAAGAAGCCTAGATCAAGGCCTGTGATGACCAGCATTTGACGTTCGCAAGTTGCTATTAGTGCGTAGTCCTAAGTTACATCAAGAATGAACCACCAGTCGACTAATGGTCCTTGCCCAAACTTGCTCAAACTCCTGGCCCAAACCAATTATCAGTGTTGAGTAAGTTCGGGCACTGACCTTTTAAACTAGACTAGTCAAATTGCGATTTCAATCGCGCGTACGTTGTCTGTTTGTCACTCGAACAGACCACTAGTCAAATCTAGTTAGTGCGTAGCAACAGCAGGCCTTCACATTGCAAATGAAACTTCGTTGGCACATCATGTTTATTTTCTATTATTTTTTCTACTTAACTTAAGTGCAATAAATAATTAATTATCTTATTGCAAAGTTTATTATTATTGAACACTGTTGAACAAAACCTTCAATTTATTGTTAATGTTAACTGTGTTAACAAAAAATGCCCCAGTTTACCTTTCCGCCATCTTGAAACTGTGACGTAAATCGAAGAAAAACAGTGCTCCAGGAATAGGTTGATCCAGTTGGACTAACTAGTCAAACAACACAGCGTTCGAGTGACATCTAGATCACCTATAGTATACAAATATTGAATGCTTCGAGTGGTGTAGTAAAACTAGCCTCCCGAGGTGATCCATGGACATTCTATTTTCCCGAGGCGAAGCTGAGGGAAAATAGAATGCTCCATGGATCATCAAGGGAGGCTAGTTTTACTTCACCACGAGATAAAGCATTCAATAATTGTTTTATAACACTTCACCTACAGATTCTGCTTGATTTTAATATTTTAAACTATTTAAATCTGAACACAGTTGAAATAAACTTCAATTTCAATACAAAATTGGTGGAAAATGTATTTCTCTCTTCCAAACTACCCCTTCACGAAATGTTTGAACCCAAGTCTGTGGCGCGCTCTCTTTGGAACAATACGTGCTACGCGCAACGTGCACACAAGCATCCATTTGCACACAAATACCGCGCCGTGGAAATAGTACTTTGGTTGCCAATGGTATAGTACTTTTGGCCGTGCACAGAAAGATAGCAAAATTAGAAAGTAACATGTGACTCTCTCTCGGCCAATCAAGACACAGAATCTGTGGGTGAGGTGTTATAATTAAGTCTAGTCGACTCCAGTCACCCAACCGAACTTACTCATTGGAGTCGAGTCCGTCACAAGTCCAGTCACATGTTTAATCATAGATCGAATCACAAGCGAGGTAAACAGTAACAGTGTAATGTCTTTGACTAGATTTTTATTTGAATGGATGGGACTGGATGACTTTATCATTGGCATGTTAATGAGTTGTGATGACTTTTTTGGGACTCGACCAAAACCGTGCTCATTGGAACTTAAAGATCTATAATAGAACTTCAGCTTCTCAAAGCGTTTCTTTAAACACTGGATAATATATCTCTCACAGGTGCTACCAAGTTGTTCCTCCCGCAACCCAATCAGACCTTCCTGGAGATTCTGGAAGACCGCCCCTTCGTCGTCCCCTGCCGGGTGACGGACCCCCAGGCCGGTGTCACCCTGACCCTCAACGACCAGCAGCAGCCTCTTGCCGGGGAGACTGGGATGTGGTACGACCCCCAGGTGGGGTTCACGGTATCGCCCATCGGATGGAGCAGGAAGGCGGTGTGCCACGCCCAAACGGAAAACGTCCAGGAGGAGCAATCCTTCATACTCATCCTGGAAGGTGAGGACTGTCATACTATTTGATAGCGCAGTGCTTTATTGTTTTGCGTGATAGAAATTTTGCATTAAGAAGATTTAAATATGGTTCTGGGTTTTTCCATTGCCCCAACCTAAATTCAAAAGCAAATTACTCAGTGCTGTCCGAGGGTTTGTGACGAAAAATTCACAAGCTAACTCGGGAGGGACTCGAACCCAGGACCTTTTGCTTATCAACTTTGTGGCTTTGCAGGTTTGTACGTGCACAAACAAGCTCGATATGATCTCGGAAGCTGCGGTCTCCCAACGAATTTGTGTTGCTCTTTGCGTGGAATGTGTACGGCCGTTGTCTATGCATGAGATCTCGAGAGCTGCTATGCAGCGGGTATGCGGCTATTGTCCCCCGGATTTTCTCGTTTCATTTTGCTGCGTCTGTGCAGAATGTTGCTACTAACTAACTAACGAACTAACTAACGTATGGACTAACGCAGAGACAAGATGATTTGTTGCGCTGCTGCTGCGACCAGACCAAATCGTGACACTTGCCCAAGATCGCAGTAAATGGAAGAATCTTGTAGTCTCCTGCTCCGTAGACTTAGGATGATGATGATGTCCGCAGCTAAAAATATTGTGTCAGTGCGAAACGGAACTCAAATATCTTGACATTTCATTTTATGCCCATAGCTCAAGCGTACACACCAGATCCGATTGTCTACGCAAGCACTGTGGAGGTTCTGGAGGGCAAAGAAGGGCTCAATGTGACCTGTGAGGTGGAGGCTCCTCTTGGTGTCCTGGTGTCGCTCACCTGGGACTATCCAGCCAAACTGGTAACAACTTTAATTTCTTATTATTTTTCAAAGTTGCCCTACCGGTATACATGTGCGCTTCGACATACCCCATTTTTTTTTCTCAATGGAATCTCAGTTTGTATGTTTTATTAAAATTGGAAAAAGCTCCTTTTTTGGCTATTTGGAAAGTTTTTAACCTTCTGAAAATACGCTTTCATTTGTGGGTTCTTTTTGCGCCCATAATGCAAAAAAATACTTTGACATTTCTTTTTTAAATATTGTGCAACTCAACTGATATGGACAGATTGTTTTTTCTGTTGTCTCAGTCAGAGGTGAATAAGTTTTGTCTCAGTCAGAGGTGAATAAGTTTTGTATAGAAATATAGCAAAAACTTGATTGTTCTGGGTGAAACTGGGTAAAATAGCAAGGCCGGGAGATCAACTTTCAAAGGAAATTGAGGGGGGTCTAAACTAAATCCCCCCCCCCCCCCGTGTAAAAAATTTACAAAAATCATGCAAAAAAAATGTAGCACATGACAGCTAAACCCCTCCCCTTCCCTGGACAGCTAACCCCTATCCCCCCCCCCCCCCTTGAGCCATAGCTGGATCTGCCCAATATATCCATGGAAATGTTCAGCAAACTCATGACATATCCGGTGCAACAACCATCCTCACTCGAAACCTATCTATTATTTTGTACAACCAACAGACCAGTGAGCTGAGTTCTCGCTACCAGGAGACTACCACCTCTGAGGAGATAGGACGCGCCCTTGTGCATTACTCCAGCTCCCTGACTGTGGAGAATGCGACCAAACAAGACGACGGCCTGTACACGTGCACTGCGTCCAGCTTCAACCATCAGCAATCGGCCGCAATACCTGTACACGTACTAGGTAATACTTATACGAAGATACTTGTGATGCGATCAAGCTAAATGAGTCGTTTGTCGTCCCTGGTCAATTTTTGCTTTATTACAGATTTGCAAAGAGCACAATTTTAGCATTACTTCTGTGAAAACCGCATGCTGGTACCACCTTTGGTTATTACAAATTATTGAAGTTGGAACACCAAGAGATGTGATGAAGTGGCCCTATTTTGGCCTGAATTTCCAAATGAAAATCCCCGACAAACGACTCATTTAGCTTGATCGATCACAATTTATCTTGAACTCTTGCAAGTAAGTTAGTGTACCATTTGAAACCAAGTTCACTACGAGCCAACATTTTCACAGATTCGTCGAAGAGCAGGAAATCCTGTAAATTGCCCATTCAAAAACTGTCAGATCGTTATGAAATCCACAAAAAAAGTCCAGCGCTTACACAATCTGATTTCAGAGTTGTTTTTCCGAAGTTTAAAAATCAATTTTAAAAAAGTTTCATGCGTAACCAGTATGTATGCTTCTTCGTTTTCTTGGTGGATTACTGTTTTGTTTAACAACTTCAGTGGGGCTTGGATCATTCAAAATATGTGAAGAATGCCTTACTAGAAGATTCCCCGTCAGCTCCAGATAAAGGTTCGGTCTTACGCGCAACCTTGGTGTGATATCCCGATGTGGGGACTTTGCTAAGTATCAACGTAGAAGTAGAAGTAGAAGATATAAAAATAAACATATCTTAATCAATTCACGATGACGTCGATGCTTTCGTAGGGAAGTTAGGTTTCAGATGTTCAATGCAATATCAGCTTAATTCACAATCATCAACAGAGCTTCAGTGGTAGATTGTTTTTTCCTTGGTTGTTTTCTGGACATCTTAGTGTTTGGGCCAGGGTTCTCTATTTCATTCTGTGCAATTCTTACTACCCTACCAGATCCAGACATGCTGTTCCTGCCAGCCAGTGAGCACGTCCTCATAGCCGACAACTCCTCCCCCTTTGTGATTCCCTGCCGCACCACCAACCCGGACATCCAGGTCTCGCTGGTCGTCGGCTACCAGTCGCAGGTCAGCCATCAGGATGACCCCACCGTCACCTATGACCCCAGGGTCGGGTTCAACGTGACAGCCAACCAGGAGATGTTTGACGGGCTGGTGCGCTGCCAGGCGCAGCTGGGAAACATCCAGCAGCAGCAGATCTACACAGTCAACTATGAAGGTACATTTCGCAATCAAAGCCCTTCTCTGCATACATTTCAAAAGTCTCTAAGCATCCGTTTCAGAATGGTGTTCTAGAGTCACCCCCATGGGTGCCAATTGTGTGTGGGGGGGGGGGGGGGACATGTCCCCCCACTTTGAATAGTGAGGGGGTATCATGTCGTTTGTCCTCCCCCCGACTTTTTTCTTCCCCGAATAAAAATTGTAGCCTACATTTGATTCTATAACTCAGGATAGCTGATTTAAGGAGTCCAAACTTGAAAATGATGTTGAAATGATGATCGTTTGCTAAACAAAAATTGGTTAAAATGGTCAGAAATTGCCTCAGATCGCACCACTGAATGTCTAGAATCCAACATTTTCGGGGCTGGCCCGTATCCCACACCGTTAGGACTTCGTGCTTCATGATCGCATTACTTCTGATCACGGTGTGTCGGTCCCCCCCCCCCCCTCCACTTTTGAGAAGTGATTGACGCCCTTGGTCACACCTAAGATTTGAATTAAGTTCGTGAAAAGTTTTACCCCTGAAACTGTGAAGAGTGTGTACATCGAAAGGTTGACTATCGCAGCAGTTTGTAATAACTCTATAGAGTCTAGCCAGTGGGAAAGATTAATGCAAAAAGGTCACAAGTCTGAACCTAAAGCTATTTGGGTCAACAGAGTCACTCCTAAAACTTTGACTTAAATGCAACTCTGAAACATCAGTCGAAACAGGTGCAAGACTGTCTGTGAAATGATCCACCAGGAACACAGTCTGCTCATATCGGAATATTCTACTTTCGCTAAATCCTGTACGGCCTACTAAATCAGAACACGGTCTGTACATACACATGTGCGGTTTAATTAGTTTGGACCGACCTATTCGAGTGGGAGCATAGCACATTTGCACTGAAATGAATGATCATTGCGCATTTGAGCCATTCCCGCAGAGAAAAAAAATATCTCTAAACTTCAATATTGGGCTTTGCCCTTCACTGATATACAGGGTGGTGCAAAAAGGAAACCCACTTTTGACAGGAATTTTAACCTACTTGCTTAACTTATTTGAACTGGTTATTTTTATGTAGTGATGTATAGCTCTTCAACCATACGTGGTGAAAACATTTTAACAAAATCGCAAGAAGAGTATTATTAGGTTAATTTGAATACAAGTCACCAAAATCGCTGTTGTGTAAGTCAATTATAGTGTTTTTTTTGGTCTTCAAATCAAGCTCCGGAGCTCAGTCAAGCGGATGGAATAAAGCCGTCTGTTTGGAACTTTTTAAACTACCATATCTCAGAGACAAAACATGTATTTGCAATCATTTTTTCGTCACTTATGTTTCAAGATCAATATTTTAATACCATTGAATGGAATTTTTGAAATATGCTCAACGAGTAGGTGAACATTGCTGTCAAAAGTGGGTTTCCTTTTTTTGCTCCACCCTGTATTTTGTTTTACATCTCTCTGATGCAAATTCCATCCTTTGAATATCCGCTAAACTTGTCCCTTTCAAAGTTTAAAAACAATATTTCTTGGATTTGTGTGGGTGTGCATTTGTTTGTATCACATTGATATGTGTCCTGGTCTCATACGCGATATACTTACAATCCTTGAAGGTGTATTATTATAACATACAAGACATAGATTTGAATTTGTTATTTAATTATAAAATATAATTAAAAAGGCAATCACTGTCTTGATCTGTAGATAGCTAAAATTAGTTATTATGTCTAATGTGCTTAATTAAAAGAAATATCATAAATGTTGTATTTGGCATCGATATTGTATCATCACAGTGAACAGCCCCCTCGTTGAGCCCAAGATACACGCCAGCAAGACAGAAGTCATCCAGGGCTGGGATGGGTTTGAGGTGACATGCGAGGTGGATATGCCACACAGAAGCAGCCTGGAGCTCACGTGGGACTACCCAGGAAAAGGGGTAAGGCGAAGAGAATTTGTTTTCAGTTGTGTTGTCTGGTAGTGAGACCAATCCACGAAGCCTAACCCCATGATATACTTTGACCAATCACAGCCATGATTAATGTCAGACAGGTGTGAACAAATGTCTGACATGCGTATTCTCGTGTTGTCGTGACCCGAAATCGAAATCGACCAGACCTGAAACCGACTTTGAATCGGGTCTGTCCAGCGTTTCAGTCGGGACAGGTCGGCTTCGGTTTTGCATTTGCGATTTTTCGGGTTGGGTCGGGTCGGTTAAGCCATTTTGGAAAAACCCGAAATAAACCAAAATAAACCGAAACAGTTCAGAAATTCACACAGTGCAATATTTATTGCAGAGTGACTGTGCCCGGTACGACCAAATGTGGTATGCGGTCTATCACACACGGTCTATATAATTATGTAGGCCAACCAGTAGGTCATGTTGTGAGTACCGTATGATTCAATTACTGAGAGATGACAATCTTCACGTGACGTGGGTAAGTTTGGGCACAAAAAGCAGACATGCCAGATATTACTTTTCTTCTTCGGGTCGGTTCAGGACTGTTTTCCTTGAATGTTTGTCGGGTCGGGTCGGGTCGGTTTTTGGGAGTCCGGATCAGTTTCGGTTCGGATTTGGTTTATATCTATAATGTTTCGGGTCGGTTTGGCTGGTACCCATTTATACTTCTGAGTGGAAAGAGGCAATCGTGGAAGATTGCCTTGCCTTAGAACTCTACAAGCCAAATGTTCCCCGTCAAAGTTCGAACCCACGTACCATGGCACATGAGTCGAACACCATAACCATTGGACCACAGCGCCCCACGTTATAAATTTTGCCATTGCGTATGAACTGGCTTTTAGACAAAGACATGCAACATTTCCTCGTATAAGCTGATTTCTCGTTTTTCACTTCACACTTATACTGTTAGAAATTGTGGAAAAAGTACTGTATAAAACTTGTAAATGTTGGAATCTCCTCTCTTTATATCATTACTTCCCAATTGTACCGGTATGCTTGTAGACAGTTTTTTTTTGTATCTGGAAAATGTTAATGGTGTGGCTTTTCTTTTCCCACATGGCCAGACTGGCATTTTGACTACAAATCATCCCAGAAGAGGATGAGTTCAGGCCTAGACGTGGTTCATTTCATTTGATTTCCTATATTTCCCCCTGTGAAGGATCAGCTGAGTTCAGATCCCAATTCGCAAAGGTGCACAAGGGATCCGAGAGGCTATAATAGGCTGCGTAGGTGGACAGAAGAGATGATTCAGTTTTGAGTGGGTGTTGAATTTCATGAAAAAGGAAATACAGGAAACGATTGACATTAGAACTTCGGAATTCTCCTTGGGAATAACATTGAATATATATCAGCCAAAGGCACGAATCATCCTATTTTTTTTTTTGTAAATGGCCAATTTTCAGGAAACTGAAAGAAACTGAACAAACTGACTAATTTAATGTTATTTTTATTCCAAATTGGTTTGTGAGAATTCATGCATTGGTAATAATAATCTCATATTTTGTTTTTGCATTAAAAACATCACTTAAAAAAACACATGTTTCCAACATCTTTCCTAAACTTTTCCCATGCTGGTAAAATTGAAGAAATTTCCAATTTAAGGAACATTCACAGCACTTGGGAATAGACTCCGTGCACAAGTACCCCCTCAAGAGTGACAATGGGAGAGTTTGGGGAGACCACTGGGAGGGACATTCCAACACATTACCTGTTGCTCATGCAAAAACGGTAGTGGTTTGTGCCGATTCAGACTAAAATTACTGCGAGCCATACGTGCGCAAAACCAGTACGCTCGCAACGTTCGTCTCCCCCACTAGGCAATGGAATTTGTTGTGCACATCACCATGATGCACTTAAAAAAAACCCCATATTTTCCAACATCTTTTTTAAAGGTTTAACTGCTGGTGAAATTGAAGAGATTTCCAATTAAGGCACATTCACAGCACCTGGAAGTAGACTCCAACATATTTTCAAATGCGCAAAACTGCATTGATTCAAATTGCATCAACTGCAAAATGTGTAAGACAATCGCATTTTCTACCAAAACATACCATTCAAAATAGGGTCATAATAAAAGAAAACTGCTTAAGGTTGCAGAAGTCATTTTCGAATGATATAAAAAAACAAAAGTATAAAGACTAAAATGAAAGAGTTGCCTGTAGCTGCAAAATTGCCCAATGGAGCGCCGTGGCCTCGTGGTCTGGGGCATTGAATTTGTGGTCTGTGTGTAATTCTGCAGGTTGTGGGTTCGAGTCCTGCCTGGGTTATGGCGCGTTTGCCCTTGAGCAAGGCAATTTGCCACTCATTGCTGCTCTCCACCCAGGAGAAAATGGGTACATGTGGGGGCAGAGATGGTTACTGTGAGAGGTTGATTATGGCAAAGGGCGCCGAAATGGCTGCCTACCAGCCGTGTATGCTCCTCAGGGAGTTGAGAAGGTTTCAGGACTGTTTGCCTGTTAAACAGGGGTAATAATAATTGTAAAGCGCTTTGATACTCGGTTTTAAGCGCGCTATATAAATGCCTGTCATTATTATGTTATTATTACTGGGCCAATGTTACAGAAATACTGTCTCCATTGCCAGATTGCGGAGTGGCAGTCCAATTACCAAGAGGAGAGGACGTCCCGTCACATCACCGAGCCTGCCCGCAGCTACCAGAAGTTTGTCAACCGGCTGATGGTTCAGAACGCCACCGAGCACGACGCCGGGCTGTACGTCTGCACGGCGCAGAAGAACCTGGAGAGAATCTCCTCCCAGATTCGCATCAACACAATCCGTAAGTACGGTATATGACGTTGTGCATGGACTTGAAGGTAGAGTACATCATTTGTCATTTTGTTTTCGTTTGAGGCAACGAAAGTGCTTAAGCTGAATTGAACTATCTGGGTAGAGTCGCGTTAGAATCGCGTCAACGTAGCTTGTGAAATATTGTCCAATTACATGATATACGAATGGATGCGGAACGCGCAAAATCTGAGACAAACAAAAAGTGTACAAAAACTCCATAAGGTTGTTTAAGGGGCGTGGCTAACTCACAAACGACGATAGGTCAATTGCGGCTACAACTTGGTCGAGCAAAAGGCATGTAAAGGCACCCCTGTCTTACAACGTCAGTTGTGAGACTGACAAGCACAGCAAGATTGACAGTGTTGATTTTTGTGGAGGGAGGAGAACCAGCGGAACCAGAGATAAACCAGCACAAGAGAGAATCAATGAACAACTCTACTCACATATTACCCAAGCTGGGAATCGAACCCGGGCCACAGCGGTGAGCGGCAAGCACTTAATGCACTGCGCCACCCATACCACCCGTGACAACCGCACTTATGAATGGGTCATTTTGTTACGCAATGTGTGCGCTAATCAATACATGTTTTTTTTTTCATTAAAAGCTGGTGCGCAGCTCAAAGAGATGGGCCCGCCCCGCCTGCAGAACACGCCCTCCCACCTGACGGTCATCGACGGGGAAACCCTGCAGCTGACCTGCGAGGGAGCCTACACTCTGGAGTGGGACTATCCCGCGAGTATTCAGTCTAACGTCGCGCTGTCCTCCAGGGCCTGCCCGACCTGCGCACCCCACGCCCGGCACACCAGCGTCCTCCGCGTGGAGAACATCGGCTACGGCGACTCGGGCAACTACCAGTGCGTCTACAGCCGCTACATGAACCACATCAATGGCGGCACGGCCACCCAGGCCGTTGTGACGGTGACAAGCAATGGTGAGAATTTCTGACCGGGAAATCGGTATTCATTTTAATTACTTCGTATTTCAGTGTAACAATGTGATGGGTATTCCCTTGGCTTTGCCTTGGGAACTAGTCTGTCAACTTCCAATGCCTCGCGGAGCTAATATATCAACTATCCACCCTCAAACTTTGCTATATTTGTGCATTGTGTTTCAAATCCGCGTTCACTACTCCATCAGATACCAGTCTGCATCTGGTTGGACCTCCCGTCATCCACATTGACGGCTCGGATCTATTAACCAGCGAAAACTCCAGCATTGAGATAACCTGCACGGGCGCCTACACCTTAGAGTGGCTCTATCCGCAATCCGTGGCCCGTAAAGTCACGCCGACTTCCACAGCCTGCCCGACCTGCCCTCCAGCATTGCGCCACCAGAGCGTCCTGAGAATCGAAGATTTGACATTCATGGACACCAATGCCTACAAGTGCGTATACAGTCGCTTCTCGGAGAACTACAATGCCAACACGTCGGCGGAGGTGTACATTTTTGTGCGCAGCAATGGTAGGTCATTAACCGTAAACAACACGGTTTCAGATGTGGATTACATATCCGCATTAGTATATTGTGCACCAGCAGTGGATTTTGTGAATAGTGCATAACTTACGTATGTGTAGGATTTACATAAGAAATATGTCATGAAGCTGCGCAAAAAAGTTATGAGTGATTTTATTTCTGAGTGCCAAAAGTGTCGAATATGTATCTATATCCCCCAGTCGTTCAAGTTACAGTTGTATAATTTTGCCACTCTGCGGGCTTCGTATACGCTCATCCCATTCTGAAATGACAGTAACAGATTGTTTGGCATAACTGGAACGCTTTTCGTGCTTGTGCGTCGATGAACACCTGCAACCTGTAATACGCTGATCACGTCACTAAAAGTTCATTGTGCGAAAGCTCCGAAAGTGAGCTTGGAGCATCCCGGTAATGATGGAAAACCATCACGCAACCACTCGCGTCAGTTGTGCACATTTAATGGGAGACTTTTGAGACATTGGTGGCAGCTAACACGCTGGTCCTTTTTCCATTGGTTTTTGTCATATCGAGCATGCGCGCTTTAGCTTAAACATGACGTAAACCATTGAAAAGGACCGGTGTATTTGCTGCCACCAACGTTTCAAAAGTCTCCCATTGAAAAATTATTTGTGCAAAATGGGCGCCATATGTTGCAAACCAATTGCGGTTTGTCCTTCCCAAACGAGCTCTTGTAAGGGGTCAAAGTGTGCCGTCCGTTGTCTCGCACAGAGTCCGTAAAGTTCATGTTGATGTCTCGTTTTTATTGCCTCCAACAGATCCATCCAAACTGTTCCTGCTCAAGCCGGACACCGCTGCTCACCACCTCGTCATCTACGAGGACGAGCCCTTTGTCATCCCCTGCCGCGTCAGCAACCCCGCGGCCCCCGTCAAGCTCTTCCAGGACCAGACGGAGGTGGACAGGACCGTGGGGGACGTCTACGACCCCAAAGTGGGCTTCAAGGTCCAGTCCAGCCAGTGGAGTGGCCTGCTGTACTGCACGGCCTACCAAGGGGCCAAATACACCCAGCAGTATTTCATTGCCACTTTTGAGGGTAGGCTATATTTTTTTCTGACAGACAGTGTGCAGCAAGAAATCAAGGGCGGATCCAGGGGGGGGGGGGGGGCCAAAGGGGGCCATGGCCCCTCCAAAACGAAACCAATTTTTTTTATTTTTTATGTGACATCGCAATAAAGGCAGGCAATGAGTACACCACCATCTTTTCCTCAAAAAAAACATTGGTTAAAGTGGTCAGAAATTGCCTCAGATCGCACCACAGAGCATCTAGAATCCAAAAAATTTTCGGGGCCCTTAAGCGGCCCACTTTTTTTAGGACCAAAATTTTTTTTGGCCCCCCCCCCCCCCAAAATTGTGTTCTGGATCCGCCCTTGCAAGAAATGAGAGTTAATCCTTCGGCTGTCAGGTCATACTTCTGTGCTGCATGTCCTACACCTTAAAAAGCCTTCCGTGTTCTACATGTAGTTTGTTCAAATGGTGCCGTACTGATTCCTTAAGTAATGCAAATATCAAAGATTTTGAAAAACAAAGCCAAAAGCTCTAAATTTACAAAAAAAAAGTACAGAAAACTGGTAAGCAGTAAGAGTTTCCCGGTCAAGTAGGAACAGAATTGTGATCGAGTCTGTCACAAGTCACCACAAGTCACCGCAAGTCAACCACAAGTCAATCACAAGTCAGTCACATGCAAGTCAATCACAAGTCATCTCAAGTCAACCACAAGTCAACCACAAGTCAATCACATGCAAGTCAATCACAAGTCATCGCAAGTCAACCACAAGTCAACCACAAGTCAATCACATGCAAGTCAATCACAAGTCATCGCAAGTCAACCACAAGTCAACCACAAGTCAATCACATGCAAGTCAACCACAAGTCATCACTAAGTCATCACAAGTCAATCACGAGTCAGTCACGAGTCACCATGAATCATCACAAGTCCTCACAAGTCACCATGAGTCCACCACAAGTCAATCACAAGTCATCACAAGTCAATCACAAGTCAGTCACAAGTCAATAACAAGTTTGTCACAAGTCATATAACAAGTCATCACAAGTCAACCACGAGTCGGTCACGAGTCACCACGAATCATCACATCTCATCACAAGTCATCACAAGTCCTCGCAAGTCCATCACAAGTCAATCACAAGTCAACCACAAGTCATATGCAAGTCAAACACAAGTCCTGCAGTCCCCACTAAATTCACAAGCTATTTAAATGAACTGTGGCAGAGGGGCTCCTATGTCAGTGTTCATCTCCTGTCACTATACTGACCTGACTTGTGAATTGAATTGTGAATGAATTAATGGACTTGCGATTGACTCGATTACAAGTCTGGGCAGGTATCCCGTTAAAGCACTACCGAGAGCAAGCTTTGGGGATTTGTACCCACAAAGTTTTGGAAAGCACTGAGTATACAGTGCTTTTTTTTGTTTTGGGCAGTATTAAGTTACAGACTGTTTCGGATAAACTACTTACATCTTAGTTATGACAAGTCAGAAGTGAAGGCTATCATGAATATTGTCAGTTGGCAGAATCTGTTTGTTTTTTTTCTTCAGTTTTTGAGTGTTTGGTTTTAAGAAAATTCTAGTGCAGCGTTTGTTCAGACAGCATGGTAAATTGATTGCGAAGAATGGGAGAGCCTTATTTTATAGGCTGGTATATCTGGCCTGGCATAATTTTACTCAGCCATTCTATGTGGTTAATACGGGATGACTCCATTGATCTCTGCAGCTAAATCGTACAGCAAGCCCAATCCCAAAGTGACCGCCAGCAAGCTGCAAGTTCGCCAAGGCCGGGAGGGCTTCAACGTGACGTGCACCGTCGACGCGCCTCTCAGCACGTCCATGGACATCATGTGGTCCTACCCGGGACAAGAGGTATAAATCCCTTCCGTCATTCTCCACCCTAGTTCATGCCTTTGTTTCCCCACGGCGAACCACGGATAGAATATGATGAAATGTGGCGAACCACGGGTGGTAGATAATGAAATGAGTCCATCGTATTATTCTGACTGCTTCTTAAAGGGAATATACATCATTTGCTTTTGCTGTAATTTTCAGAAATGGATGGAATTGGGGGTTGGAAATATATAGCAAATATAGTTACACTGACTTTTTTGAGGTTTTGGGTTCGAAAATGCTATAAAAACCAAGAAAAACAATCATTTTCCTGTAGTCTGGTTCCCTGACTCCATTTAAGAAGAAACAGAGCAGTTTACATATATTGGGGAATTGTAAGGTCAGGGAACCAGTCTAGCTGGCTTGTACCCGTTCATAGGTGTGTAATCGATTGCAAACAAGTGCGATGGTCAACTGGGGCCAGTATTTGAAAAAAAAGCCAGTTTTTTTCCAACGCTGATCGGCCGATCAGCGTTGGAAATTGATACAAAAATACCACTTTTTTTGAAAATCGCAGTATACCAGGTGCCATGATTTTACAGGATGCTTAACACTGTCATTCACTAACAGTCCAGCAAGGTATTTCAAAATGATTTGGTAGTTTTATTTTTTGATGTTTGCAAATGTTGTATTTTCCCTTTAATGTCCAACTTTACCCCAAATACACATTGGTCACCTCCCCAAAAACTGGTTCTTCAAGCCACAAGATAAATGTGCCAAGGCCAACTCTATATTTAATTGTCACTTTTTTTAAATAGAGTAGCGTATTCTCATAATAATAAGTATTAACTTCTGGTAATCAAAGTACAGTGAAATCTTGATATAAAGTCAAACTCTGATATCTCAAAAAAAACATTAACTCAAAAGTAAAAAAAATTATTCCTGTCAATTGTTGTCGAAGGGAAAATGCTTTGTATAATTCAAAATTCTGATTCACTCAAAATTTGAGCCAATTCCCCTGAGGTTTGACTGTGACTTCCCTAGGATTTAAACCATTGCTATGACGTCACACTATTGTTAAAAGTGTGGATTCGGAACTACGAGTCTGTTACGCTGGTCACAAAGTGTGGATTCGGAACGAAGAATCTTTATTAAAGTGTGGATTCGGAATTACGAATCCACACTTTGAACATGTCAGACAATTGTTCTCTATAATGAGCATTAATAGGACCGTCTGCGTGAAAATTTCCTTCCGAAATTACCAATGCATCTTCCCTGTCAGATTTTCCACCGTCACTGCAAAACCTACTTCGAGTGGGAAAGAAATCATCGTCTGACCTATCAATTTGTCAACGGAAGGAGCTGGGACAAATGTTGCAACCTGAAACCTTTTTTCTCCATATATCATCTCAATGAAGGGCATTCATTGCAAAAATGATGATAAGACATGAATCTGGGACTGAGAAATATTTCTAATTTTGTTAGGAAATACTTAAAAAAAATTCTTGACTCTCCATAGACTTTGTACACAATCGCGGAAGTGGCGTCAGGTTGCAACATTTATCCCAAGACTTTTCATCTCCACTCACTGTTAATGCCAATACTTCTTTTGACGCAATGGTTTAAGTCGAAGAATACACTCTCAAGTGTGGATTCGTAATTTACGAATTCACTCGGCGCTTCGCGCCTCGTGAATTCTTAAATTACGAATCCACACTTTCTCGTGTATTCTCCTTAACAGAGCCCCCATTTCACTAACCTACAATCATATTTATTCCATTCCGCCTCCTCAGAGCTGTCAGCCAGAATCCAACTGCCGCATAGAGAGGGACTCCCATGAGGAGGAGATCAAATCCAACAGGCAGACGCGCCGTTACCGGCTGTACACCGTGGTGCTGCACGTGGAGCGGGCCACGCGGTACAACAACGGGACGTACATCTGCACAGCTACCAACACGAAGGGCCCCGCCTCAGCCTCCATCGACATCAACGTACTAGGTAATGCAATAGTATCTGTGCTTCTCATTGGTTGCACATTTTTAAAGGCATATAGGATCTTTGTATTTACCCCAAAAAGTAAAAGTAAAGTAAAGTCTGTCGCGAGCCAATGTGGCTCATCAGGCCGGCGTTTATCTCCGGTTCCAGCAGCATGAAACAACTGAGAATATTTCTACCCCCCTCTGGATGGGATGCTAGTCCATCGCAGGTTACTCCCCAGTTAATGCCGGTACCCATTTATAGTCCTGGGTGGAGAGGGCAAGTGTGGGTGAAATGGCTTGCCCAAGGACACAATATATGACCAGCAGCTGGATTCGAACCCGGACCCTCTGATCATGAGTCACGAACCCTAACCACTAGGCCACACACTACCCCAAAAGTAACCTACCAAGTTATTGTCAAAATGCTCACTTGGAATAAAAAGATCTTACTGGTACTAAACACTACATAAAATTATTCCGTCTGGCTAGCTGTCTTTTTGAAGAAATCAAGGTAGGTGATTTCCAACGATCAGTCAATTGACTGACTTTTTGGAAATAAAGAGTACTATTGATGAATTTATGTTTCGTGATCAAAAGGTTGTACGTGGCTTTTCAATGTTTTCTCGAAAAGTATAATATCTGCTGAACGGAAATTTCAACAGGTTAGGTTTTGAAGAGGAGTCTTTAGATTTTGAGTGGTGTTATTGGAACAACCAAAATGCATGAAAAGGAAATTAAAGGAGCTATGCCAAAATATTGGCGACAAGACAAGCAGGGTTTTCAAAGTCATGGAAAAATCCTGGAAAAATCCTGGAATTTAAAGCTGTCACTGGAGGGAGTCATGGACAGTTTATATTCCACCCAAAGAAGTCATGGAAAGTCATGGAATCCTGCACAACCCATGCGTAATGATGGGTCAAATAATGGCAGTCTTCCAGTTGGCATGCCAGTTTTCCCCTTTATGCACGTACATGTATGTTCTTTACTTGTTGCATGTTCAGTGCACCATTGTGATGATTTTGTGGTGCAGTCAGTGGCCTGGTGTCAAACCGGAAGGCTATTGTACATGTAAGCAGGCTCGTACAGTGCCAAAACAGCGTAGGACTTGGTCGTGTAAGGCCGTTAATTTGTCCTGGAAAAGTCATGGCAAAGTCGTTGAATTTCATTTTAAGATTTCCTGGGAACTTCACAAAAATTCTATTGACTCTAAAGGCTTGATATAATAAACTAATACAAATGAAAATGAAAAAGTAACATTTTCTTCCGCTTGTTCCTGTGATAAAGAGCGAGGCTACATCAATATGGAGCTCATACCGAGCAAGCCCAACAGCAACAACATGGATGTACTCCGGGGGGAGGACAAGTTTCGCATCGGCTACATGGTGCAGGATTATCCCAAGGCCCGGTTTCGCTGGTTAAAGGACGGCCAGAGTCTTCCAAAGAGCAACCTGACGGACTACAACTTGCAGGTCCGGGGGGACATCGTGCGCGCCGTGTTCAGGCACGTCACTGATGCGCACGCTGGCAACTACACGCTGGTCGCGACGAACGAGGACGTGACTGTCAGCAAGAGCGTTATTGTCACTGTCACAGGTAAGCAAGGCACTCAACCATTATTGCTTCGTCCTTCAGATGGGACGTAAAGCCGTAGGTCCCGTGTGTTGTGTACTGCAATGCACGTAAAAGAACCCAGTGACACTTGTCGCTAAAGGAAGGGGTTTGCCCAGGTGTTTCTGGCCTCCTGTTAAAACTCCCTTGACGAGGCCTTAGGAGAAGAATCAACCATTTTCAATCAATCAAGTTTTTTTCATTATTTTGTTACTTCATGTTTGAAAGGCCGAGGCTTTGTCTCAAAGGGGCATTTTTGTCTGTGGATATTCACAACCGAGCTTTACCGTTGTTTTGTCTCTAAGATCTTTGTAAGGTTGCCTTTCTCTTAACTGTTTAATCGATACCAAACGTGGGGGTGGGAAACAAACAAAACGCTAAGTCACATGATGCTTAGCTGTACAGAATGATTGTCAACCTGATCTTGACCATGTACATGTACACTAAAAAAAAATCCAAGAATATGTCCATGATGTTTATCCTCATTATCATCCACATGAGAGTCATGTGATCACAATGTAAGCTTTACATTGATGGGATTCGCATCAGAGTATCCTTTGATTTAAACTAACAATGTAACTTTGTCATGCCTTGGGTACCCTTAAAGGTATATCTGCAGTTGTTAAAAAAAAAGAAGACATTTTGGGAAGAAACATCGTAACTGGCTGCAGGCATGTGATTCTACTGACTTTTGACTGAAATCAAACCTTTTGCAGTTGGAAGAAAGAAACTATAAGTATAGAGAGAATTGCATCTTTCACAGCTTTCATCTAATTTTCAGACTGTTTTGTTTTTAATTTGACAGTCTCAGCTCTACGGCTGTTCCATGTGACTCGCTTTAGTTAAAAACGACAGGAAACTTCAAATGTTTTATCAGAGCAAGTCCAGTGTCAACACGTCAATGAACTCTTTTTGTTTTCATCCCATAGTCAAACCAGTCGTGACCATCACCTCCTGGCCCCTGCCCACCAACACCGACCCGCCCCTGTACATGGCCGGGGAGGACTACCTCTTCAACTGCAGCGCCACGGGCAACCCCGTCCCCACCGTCCGATGGATGTACATCAACTGCCCGAACAACTCCATCAACTGCAATGCTGGCAGGCGGCACAACCGGCGCAACCACGGCACCCCGCTGGACGGTGTCAGCGGTGGCCACAGTGGCGTGCAGCAGGAGCCGGGACGGCCGGCCCTGCTTCAGGTGACCTCCCCGCAGGCCCGGATCTACCGATGCTGCGCCGACTCCCCGAAATTCCCCGGACTGGACTCCTGCCAGGATATCCACTTTAAGATGACAGGTAAAAGAGGCTGAAAAAAGACCAAACAAACAGTGTTGTAGTCCAAGATACTTATGATCGGTCGCATTGAATTTGTGGTCTGCCGGTAATTCTGCAGGTTGTGGGTTTGAGTCCGGCGTACGGCTATGGTGTGTGTGCCCTTGGGCAAGGTACTTTGTCACTCTCTGCTTCTACCCACCCAGGAGTAGATGGGTACCTGTGAGGGCAGAGGTGGTTATTGTGGTTGATTTTAGCTGCTTTGCGCCGAAATGGCAGCATCGAGCTGTATCCACTCCGTTCACAAGTACCCCCTCACCGGCAAAGGAAGTACAGTTGGGGTGCGCGGCCACTGCGTGTACATAGAACAAATCTCTTGGTGTACGCGCGTCACACACAAGGAACGGTGTGCGTCAACCAGCGAAATGTACCGCCCATGGGACGTCGTTGCTAGGTAAAAGGGCGCCCTCTTTTGGTAGCGCACGGAGCTCATACTACCCAGGGAACTGAGATAGTATTTGGAATGTTTCATTGGCCTAATGAGAAGGGTCATAATGATGTATCGCCTTGAGCACCAATAATTGTAGATACTACGTGTGCAGTATAAATACCCATTATTATTATTATTAAGCTGTCACGCAACAGACTGAAGTCGTTGAGTCCCAAGTCAACTCTCAAGCTATGCGAAGGCACTGTGACAAAGGCATGTTCTTTGTTTCTGTTCATCTCTGTTTAACTTATGACTGGACTTGTGATTTACTTGTGACCAGAGCCATCACGAGTACCTCACCTGCAACACTTCATTAAATGTTAAAAGTTGTTATCGAATCATATTAAGTAAAATTGATAGTTGAATCATAAATGTAAGTCACAGGAGACTGTAGCCCAGGTTGGACTCCGTTGTGTACACGCAACGGAGTCCAGGGTATGAATCTCTCCTGCCATAGCGAACAAAAATGATAACACATTTTTTGCATATTGTTACCTGACGGAGGAAGCTGAAATTTCACTTACATATTCCTTGTGTCCAGAATTGTGCCAGTGCTGGGTTTAGGAAAGGCAAATATGTCCGCAGGCGGTGTGTTTACCGAATAATAAACCGCAATCCCACGCTTTCGTTGAAAACATGTTCAGTACGAACTCCCCGTGTGAAGATTACGCGCGCGCATGCATGCACACCTAGCACGCTGCCGCCATGGCAGCAAGCGGCAGCAAACGGCACGTGCGTGTACGTCTTCACGTGGGGAGTTTGTACTGAAAATGTTTTCAACGAAAGCGTAGAACTTGCGGTTTATTTTCGGCAAACACGCCGCCCGCTGACATATTTGCCTTTCCTAAACCCAGCGCAGGCACAATTCTGGACACAAGGAATATGTAAGCAAAATTTCAGCTTCCTCCGTCGGGTAAAAATATGAAAAAAAATGTGTTGTAATTTTTTTGCTATGGTGGTACAATTTATACCCTGGACGTCAGTCGTTATGCAATAAAGACGTTGTCCAACCTGGGCTAAGGAGACAGTAACAGTTCATTTGAATAGCTTGTGACTTGTCTTTAGATTTGATAACTGGTGATGGACTTGTTATGTGTTCTGGTGACTCTGCGGCCGACTCGATACTGGGCTTCTTGTCAGTTTCATCACTTCTAGATTAATTAACCCAAGCTCAACCCATCAAACCCCAACGGCTTGTTTTGTTGGAATCTGTCAGGATGGGTACAGTACCCCTAAACTGACAGTCTTTTACATTGGGTTTGCACACCTCCAGACGCAAAGTCAGAAATATGTGTGCAGTTTCCCATACGGTGTTGGAATTTGCCAGGATGGGTGTGGTTCCTAATTAATCATGCTAGGGAGTTAGGGTTTTAATAAATATCCCGGTTGACAATACTCTAAATTGTGTTCTTGTTGGATGTGATGTTTCTGCAGCACAGACTGAACCATACTGAGCAGGAGTCCTTCCAAGTCAGAGGCCAGAACTCTCTTCACATTTCTTGGTTACTTTTCTCTTTGACTCTCCAGACTTACCAGTAGGCCTGAAGGTCACGGCGGACAACCAGTCTCCCTACCAAGGCAGCAACATCAGCCTGACCTGCCAATGGAGCACCTATGTATTCAAGTCCATCGAGTGGCACTATGTGGGGCCTGAGAACGTCACGCATCGCATCGCGCAGTCTCTCGACAACCGGCAGATCAGCACCAGGCTGGACGGCTTCACGAAGCTGTCCGTGCTGACGCTGAGCGACGTCGGCTTTGCGGAGACCGGGAGTTACCAGTGCCGGGCGCTGAAGCGGAGGGGACACGCCAAGAGGGTGGCCGAGGTTGACATCGAGGTTCAGGGTAAGATGGGTTCTTGTGTATTTGCAGACTTCATATTTTGGGGAACATAGGGAACGTGGCACTCCATGGCCCTGCCATGAGCGCCTCAGTTTGTCGGACACAGTAAGCGAACACACACATACTGAAATTTGTATCCTTATTGAGATATTTCTTTGTTCTTGTGTACTAAAGTTTTGAGTTTGAAAGTACAGTCTCAAAATGCTCTTATTTTAACCAGAATTAATTTCCTTGGCTGAAATTCAGACTTATATCCCTTTTCTAATACTCTACCATTTGCGCCACATCAACATACCTTAGTAATTCCTTGGTTTTTGAGTAAAATCCATATATCTATTTCGTGAAAACCTTGTGGAGACGTATTCATCTATAGAAATTGCCCTGTGGAGACGTATACAATCTTTTGTTCCCTATTGTGTGCATGTCTCCAGAGGGCACAGTGTATCAGATCCAGTGTTCTTGCAAAAGTGACGCAAGAAACATATAGTTGTTAAATATATGGTTGTTCAATTCATAGTATTAACAGGGGTGAGATTTTTTCCTGATTTCAGGAATTTTTTTTTTTTTTTTTTTTATTTCAGGATATTTTTTCAAAGAATCCCTTTTGAAATCTGGAATTCCAATGACCCTAAAACACTCTGTCGATGATTTTGTGGAATTTTTCGGCTTCTACCAATCTCATGCCTTATATTAAGTGTGTTTTAATACACTTAGATGAATTAGAATTCATCCCCTTTATTTAATAACTTGTCAAATAACCACACAGAGAAATGGATTGACAGGAGATATTCAGCCATTTATGTACAATGAGAAAAGGCATTGTTTGGCAGATCACTAACACAGGGCCGGATAGTTCAGTTGGCGAGGCACCAGTACGGCATTACAGTGGTCACAGGTTCTCATCCAGTGCAGTCTACTTTATAGTGATCTCAATTGTCAAAAACAGTGCACCAAGTCCTGCGATTTTGACCAGGCCCACGGGGCCGAATGGCTCAGTGGGCTAAGGCACCGATGCAGCATTCTAGAGGTCGCAGGTTCCAATCCCGCTCAAGTCCGTTGCTTTGCTCAACTTGTAGTAAATCTCTGTTCCACCACAGAGCACCGGGCTCCCGAGATCCTGACCGAACCCACCAGCCTGGAAGTGGACAAGGACGAGGGCAAGATCTCCCTGCAGTGCCGAGCCACCGGCGCCCCGCTGCCCACCCTCAGCTGGCTCAAGGACGGCCGGAATCTGACCACGGACCTCCAGCTGGTGGAGAGCGGCCAGAGTCGCATCCTCCAGCTGAACAGAGGGCGCATCATCATCGACGACAGCGGCTCCTACGTCTGTGTGGCTAGCAACCCCTCGGGGAGTCGAAATATCACCGTTGAGGTCTTAGTTCAGGGTGAGTTTAGAGATGCCGCTTTTCCGGTTTTAGCCGGAATTAATTTTTTTTTTAAATCTCACAAAATTCAGGTATTTCCGGTCATCAAAATAAAATGGGAAAAGAGAGGAGTACTGTGGAAATGTGTTGATTTTTACCTCGTTAGTGCTCTCGAGTTTAGTACTTAGGTGCACGTACGGCACAATGTTGCGTTGTTTATTGAAGTAGTCTTAAAAAGAAGTTTTTGTTGTTACCGAGCCTGATGCGACACAGACATTGCAGGGGTCCCAGAAGCACGACACCAGGGGGTAAACTTTCAGGCTCTGTCCTTGGGAGGAGTGCAGTAGGCCTACGTCAGGCCCGTAGCCCAGGGGTCGGCCGTTTCCTTGCGGTTGTGCATTTCCATGCTCACTCATCTGATTTATTACTCAACAAAAGGTCCACTCACAATGAAAAGGTCCACTTCATGATAAAAATGACCCTCCCCTTCCATCAGGCTGTCTACGACCCTGTATGTTTTCATCCATCGTTACTCCCTCGGAATCAAACTTCCCGAAGTGCTGACAACAAAAGTGACGGAAACATTTCAACATTTTGAGAGACTTGTCACAAATGTTTTGCTCTGTTTCCGTTACCGAGTAATTCCTTGCTAGGTGTTAAATTGAGTACCATTCTTCATTGGAGTTTATCAAATGTTGTATGATCACAACCTGACATTGACTCTTTCAAATCTTGTCTCAAAAGTTACCTTTTCATTCAAGCTTATCATTAATTGCCCCAGCGCAGTGAACTGCCGGTAGGTTTTCCTAGAAACCAGCGCTTTATAGTTTCATTATTATTATTGTAATTATGTTAGAGTATCAATTATTTGTGAACAAAACTGTTGCATTCATCGTTTGTTTTTCCTCTGACAAATAGTCCATATAACAAACGTTACATCATCATGGTCAAATTAATTTCGGCCAATTTTCCTGAAGGTGACAAAAATAAATTTGTGCTTCCTCGGGCCGGGCTGAATCATTAACCGTATCAGTCTGGCATGATGAAGATGACGAATCATCAACTTCATCCTTATCACGAGACAGTGACCCAGGCAGGGCGAAATCACTTTTCTCCTATAAATAAGGAAAACACCAAGTTTGTAAACTATTTGGAGAACTTGCATGTGGGAGATTACAAGAGGTTAGACTAATTTTCTTCAGCAGATTCTTGTTTTATGTGAAATGAACACGTGATTGCCTGCTAACAAGCCAGTTCCAACTGTGCATGTGAATGTCAAGATTGTTCAGTTTTCACCTCGCGATTAATGATCGCCGTATGTATGTACAGTCATTAGAAACAGTGGATGAACAATAATATAGGAATGCCTTTGTCACAGCTCATTTGAGTAGCTTGTTATCTGAATTGGGTCTGGAGGACTTGTGACAGACTTGCTGCAACTTGTGATAGACTCGGCTACATCCCTAACGATTTGCAATTTTCTTTCCAAATATAGTATTTCATAGATTTTCAAATTGATCTTCCATCCCCTCCCCCCACAGAGAAGCCTAAGTTTGACAAGAACCTCCCCGCCGTTATCAAAGCCAAGCCCGGCAGCAACATGACTCTCTCCTGTCAGGTGCGAGGCACGCCCAAGCCCGCCGTGGTCTGGTCGCGCAACGTCAGCGGCGCGGTCAAGCCCATGCCCAAGAGGATGTACAGCAACAAGGAGGAGGAGCTGAGGATGGTGGGAGTCAAGGAGGCCGACGCTGGGATGTACCTGTGCACGGCTGAGAACAAACTGGGTGTGGCTACTAGGAAGATAACCCTCCAACTAGGTGAGGTTGTTATGAAGATTGGCAACTCCATCCCTTTTTTTGTTCTTATAGGATCAATTCTAATTCCGTCCAGGAATCACATTGTGATAATGTCAGGAACGCCCAGAATTTTCCAGATAAAAATAACGGGGATACACTTTAATATAAATCCACTGAATGAGCTGTTGTAATGAATCACTTAAAATGAAAGTTGTTTTGTATTGTGTTTTCCCTATTTTTTTCCATTCAAGTGTAAGCCAAAAAGAACTCAAAAAGCATGTATGCAAAGTCATAATTGAGAGGTGTTAAGGCATGTTCATACACGGCGCGAATGCAAACGCGAATTTGTGATGTCAGGGCACGTGAATGCACTGTGAATTCACAAAAGTTGAACACATTTCAACTCCTGTGAATTTCGCAGCAATTGCTTTGTGACGTCATATTCGCATCGCATTCGCATTAAGTATGAACCGGCCTTTATTATTTCCCTAAACACGTGATTGTTTTACAAACTGCTTTTTTCCCCTGATGTCACAGTTTTCTGTTTCAAAGGTAGTAGTTCCGCTGGTTGTTTAAAAGGCGCTACACAATGTCTTTCTTCCCAGAACGGCCCTATCTTTGAATACTTGTTGAGGTTTGCCCATCTCATATGTGATGCGATCAAGCTACATGAGTCGTTTGTCGAGAATTTTTATTTGGAGATCCAGGCCAAAATAGGGCCACTTCATCACATCACTTCATCACATTTCTAGAAGTTCTGACTTCCATAATTTTGAACTGAAGATGGTATCAGCATGCAGTTTTCACAGCTGTAATGCTCAGATTGTGCTCTTTTCAAATCTGTAAAAAAACCCAAATTTGACAGAGGTCAACAAACGACTCATTTAGCTTGATCGCATCACATATGATTTGCTTATAATTTGTGGGCGTGATGACAGGGTCTTGTTCAATAGGAATACTTAAAAATAGGAATACTTAAAAATAGGAATACTTAAAAATTGTCCAAGACACATGTATTCATGAGTACCATTTTTTAACAGTTGGTGATCGAGTTTTGAAAACTCTCCTACATTTTCTTCTTCAGACAAATCCCTGCAGGCCCCGTACGACATGGCGTCCTCGCCCCGCGACATCGCCATCATAGCCGTGGGCTCCTGTTTCATCTTCCTCATCCTGATACTCATCATCTTCAGAATCAGGAGGAAGAAGGTGAGGGAAGTGGTTTATGTCTTACATGTAGGCATCTTGTTGATTGTCCAATTTGTTAGTTGGTGGATTAGCCGGTTTGGTTTGTTGATTTTATCATTTGTCAGAGATGAAACTTTTCCAGTTTGGATCAGAAATCCGACTTTTTCAAATTGATTTTGAAAAGTCCCATTTTTCTGATGATCTTCTCTCAGCAAACTCTTATCTTGCAAAATTAAAGTTATAGTCCATCATTTGTAATTTGTGCATTTTGTTCATTTGAAGTAACAAAAGTGCTCAAAATCTAAAGAAGGGTACTGAACAACTAACCTGATAAAGTTTCAGATCAGCTTCAGCTGTATATTCCTAGAAAAACAGCATTCTAGGATCTCAATTTCAAAAGTTGCTGAATCATGTTTTGAATTGCGCCTGAATTCAGCGTCCGAGACACGTTCTCGCTGAGCCGAATGCAGATACGCGATGTCGCGCACTGATCTGATGAATTATAGCAACCGGGGTGCGTGTGCGTCGTGCCAATGCTTGCGCGCGCTTCGCCGAATAACAAAACGAACTACTAATTTAAATTTTCCCACGGTGCGTCTTAAGAAGCACCGTTGGAAAGGCCTTCTTTCGTTGATTACTTCAAAATGACAGCTTGCCAGAAAGAATAATTTCACAGGGAGTTTAGTCCTCTTACTATCTTTCAACCAAGTATGTTTTTCAACAATAATTACGCCAGCTACTTTTCGGATAGCTGCAAATGATGGACTATAGCTTTAAATTTTAATGATTTGGATGAAGACGGCACCGCGACATTTGTACTGCGAGCGCAATTTTAATCTGTTCTACCAGTCGTCAGTGCACAGATTGTGTGGTAGACGCACATAAGTAAGTCTGGATTGGAGTAGTTAATGGCTGGAAATGAGTTTTTTAAGCAGCAACCTATGACAGAATTTGTACAAGTGCTTCAAGGCTGGACGTGGAGTTTGACTACCATGACTGATAGTCAAATCCTTATGTTGCGCGATTTTCAGAGGTTTGAGATTTAGTTGCACAAAACCCAATGCTTTAAAAATCACAATGATGATCTTGAGGAAGGTGAAGAGAGTATACAGTTTCTGTAGTGGAGACGTTGTTTGATTGAATGATGCACTTGTCTTGAACTTTTTCTTCAACTTTCGCCATGTTCTCTAGTAAGAAGAGAATTTCTTTGTTAGCAAGTCTGTTTCTCGTGGAGACGTTGTTTGATTGAATGATGCACTTGTCTTGGACTTTTTCTTCAACTTTCTCCATGTTCTCAAGTAAGAAGAGAATTTCTTTGTTAGCAAGTCTGTTTCTCGTGGAGACGTTGTTTGATTGAATGATGCACATGTCTTGAACTTTTTCTTCAACTTTCTCCATGTTCCCAAGTAAGAAGAGAATTTCTTTGGTAGCAAGTCTGTTTCTCGTGGAGACGTTGTTTGATTGAATGATGCACATGTCTTGAACTTTTTCTTCAACTTTCTCCATGTTCCCAAGTAAGAAGAGAATTTCTTTGGTAGCAAGTAGGTTTCTCGTGGAGACGTTGTTTGATTGAATGATGCACTTGTCTTGGACTTTTTCTTCAACTTTCTCCATGTTCTCTAGTAAGAAGAGAACTTCTTTGTTAGCAAGTCGGTTTCTCCAACCCTAATTTAGACTTTTCATTGAAAGTGCCGTGTCTGCAAACTTGATGTACATCTGATCAGGTAATCTGTAGGTGTGGGCTCTGTGCAGTGGCATCTTGATATCTGTGAGGGCCATACCTTAATAACCACTTCATGTAGTTCATTATTGAAGTGTTTGAATAACAATTTTTATAAATGTGTTTTGCCCCTCTGACCATGCAGCAGAAGTACATAGCAGGAGGTGACGACATGCTGCTGCCTATATCCCTGGGTCAGGTGGCTGACCTGGAAGATATATGTGACCACCTGCCCTATGATCCTAAGTGGGAGTTCCCTAGGGAGCGACTCAAGCTGGGTGAGTCAACCACAAAGCAATCACAAGGCAATTACAAGGCAATCACGCATCAGTCACAATGCAATCACAAGTCAATCAGAAGGTCACAAGTCGATCACAAGTCAATTACTGGCAGTCACAAGTCAATCACAAGTTGATCACTGGCAATCACAAAGCAATCACAAGTCAATCACAAGTCAAATCACAAGTCAATCACAAGGAAATCACAAGTCAATCACAAGTTGATCACTGGCAATCACAAAGCAATCACAAGTCAATCACAAGTCAAATCACAAGTCAATCACAAGGAAATCACAAGGAAATCACAAGTTAATAACAAGTCAATCACAAGCCAATCACAAGTCAATCACAAGTCAAATCACAATTCAATTACAAGTTAATCACAAGTCGTTCAGAAGTCAGTTACAAGTCAGTCACAACTGAATTGCAAGTCAATCACAAGTCAACCGCAACTTAACCGCAAGGCGATTAAAGCGCAATCACTAGGCAATCACAAGTCAATCCCAGCTGTAATCAGAAGTCGAGTTGGAAGTCAGTTATATAGGGCATGAACAATGATAAGGGGGAATGCCTTTGTCACAGTTTCAAGTAAATAGCGTGTGACAATGACTGAAACTGGATGACTTGTTATTGATAAGGGAATAAATGTGTGCATCGGAGGTTTTTATCACTCTGATTAAGACCACTTAGAGTCTGGGTGCTGATAATTACCCGAGCCGGAGGCGAGGGTAATTATCAGCACCCAGACTCTAAGTGGTCTTAAACAGAGTGATAAATACCGACGGAGCACATATTTATTCCCATTCATAAATACCTTTTCGGTAAGAAAAAATGATATAATTCGTTCAAAACATCCCGATTTTGTTCAACAAATTCACTTTATGCTTTTTGAAACATCCCTCTTGCAAAATAATGGAGTGTTCAGCTGGCGAGTAAGATGTAAACAACCCTTTTATGGAGATTGACGCGCGCGTATCATGTTCTGCGCGATGTCGCGCAGAACGCACCTGGCGCGTTGCGTTTTGAATTTAGAACTATAAAATTCTGACTCCTTGGTAGTGTTGCGCATGCCTACGTGAGGATTGTGAACGTTCAACCAATGAAACGATAAGAGGCACTGGAGTTTTAGGAGTCCACATTTTATTGTGACACTTGAGTGTTTAAGACCAGCTAGCCATGTCTTTATCATCCATTTAAGACCGGCCACGTGACGGGCTCTCGACCAATAGGAATGCGTAAACTGTCTTAGGTATTTATGAATGTACAATAATGTACTATGACTTCATTATAACTTTTCTTGATAGTCAAAAATGTACAGGGCCCAAGTTCATGTCACTGTTAAGCACACACTTTACTGCTAACTGAGCGTCGTTGAAGACCATTCAAGCATTATCACACCAGAGTACGCTAACTTCAGAGGGAGAATTTGTGTAAATTGATGCACAATATAGTGAGCTACATTTGTGTAGATGTCTTAGCTTAACTTTGTAGTGAAATGTGCTACAGGTTACTTCAAACTGTTGATGAGCAGTGGCATCAAAATAGGTGCTGATGACCAGTCACCGTGTTCATATTCACACTCATTGTATCCAAGGAAATCATCTTTTAAAGATAGCAATAATGCATTTTTTGATCCTCAGGCTCCATCCTTGGGCAGGGGGCATTCGGCAGGGTAGTCAAGGCAGCTGCCTTTGGCATCGATAAGACACAGACGTGTACCACAGTCGCCGTCAAGATGCTGAAAGGTAACAACTTTTGTTCCCGCCTCCTTCTTACTTGTGGCTGTTTAAAACTTTTGTTTTAGGAAAAATTATTAAAGACCGAAAGGACGCAGTAGGTTCGCCTAAAAACTCTGCGTATTTTTCAACACTGACATTGATGTTGCATGGGCATTTTTACTACCTCAATTGACGGAAGTTATTTTCCCCTCTTATTGGAGTTGATGTTTGGAGATTCGTAATATTGTAGTTTTTACATGCAAATCCTAAACTCTTTCTGTTTACTTTTCTGAAGAAAATGCTTCTGACGTGGAGAGGAAAGCACTGATGACTGAACTCAAGATGTTGATTCACATCGGTCCTCATTTGAATGTTGTCAACCTGATGGGAGCATGCACAAAGATAGGTAAGCATCATGGAACTTTTGATATTGGATTTTTTTCCTCACTCCGCTAAGTAATTGCTATGAGCACTTATTAACCAGTTCGCGTCGGAGGCCGTGATAACACGCACTGGCTGTTTTTGAGCACAGGCACGGCTGACGGGTTAAGACGTCAAGATTGCGTTGACTGGCCTCCAGGTGATGTCTTAACACGCTAATCCCTTGTGCCTTTTGTACACACACACAAAGTCCGTGAAGTCTGTGGAGGCGGACCGTGTGTTGGTCTTGAATTGGTCATTGTGCACGGCCTATTGTTGTACAATTTACGCTCCAGTGCACACCCCAGAGTATTGAAACATATGAGTTTCAGCAAGAAATATCGTACAAATACTGTTGAAATGACTCTTGCGAATCAGTATTTGTGGCGATTGGCTGTATATCAGAAGTTGGCGGGAAAAATTTGCCTTATGCGAAAATCGAAAGTTTCGAAGTGGTTAAAACATAGTACTGTCCCAATAAAAACGACAGAATTCATGCTGGTTAATACTTCATGCTAATTCACATTTGTCTGGCATTGAAACATTTTCAGCTATTGTGAATTTGCAACGATGATGCATGTACCGTACTTGCTGCGACAACACAAATGCATGACTAAACACTTCAAACCCACAATCACCCGCTTGCAAGTGCAGATCATCTTATTAGGCTTAATCCTTTGAGCATTATATACTTGACAACATTTATAACTCTTCTGAAGTTTTTTTTAATCGCAATTGTAATTTTTTTTACGTCTACCTTTCAATTGAAAATGAAGAGTTTAGCTTTCCAAACTTTGGCTTTAGTCTCCAGCTTCGGTTTTGACTCTGTCACCAGGATCTTTTTGACTGATTTGAGGTCTGCTGAAAATGGAGAAATCTAAATTTGGCCTCACAAAATGAGATTTGATATTCCATGAGCAAGGCACAGATCTATGTTGAGTTGAGATTCCTCCAATCAGGGGCCTAAGAAGGAGATAAAGTCAATGTTATAAAAACCTCCAGATGTCATTCCTTGCTCGGCTTTTGAGACAATGATCCCAATATTCCTTCTCCAGACCTCCTGATCATCGTGGAGTTCTGCACCCACGGCAACGTGTCAGACTACCTGCGCGGCCGGCGCCAGGACTTCGTGGTGGAGTCCAAGGACACCCACCAGCCCCTCCCCCACCAGCAGCGGCTGATCGCCGCCAGCCTGCTCAGCACGGGGGCCTCGGCCGAGCCGGACAGCCCCGGCCTGCCGCTGGACGCTGAAGACGAGGACGAAGATGACGACGTCTTTACGTTTGTTGAGAAGAAGGAGCCGCTGACGCTCAAGGACCTGCTGTGCTTTGCCTTCCAAGTGGCTCGGGGCATGGAGTTCTTGGCATCCAAGAAGGTTGGTAGTTTATATCAAACAGTCCATATACACCAACAAAAGCTTTAAAGTTTACAAACATGAAGCTATCCTATTACAACAACTAAGAAAATCTGTATACTTTATTAAAAAAAAAAATGGAGAGGGTGGGTGTACTGTAAGTCTCTATTCAAAAAGTTATTACATCTAATAAAAGAGACGTTTTTAACCCTCACTGTAGCTCATGAAACCGCCCCGCCTTTTACTCCCTGTAGCGCCCAAACTGCCTGAGCACTCTATGGTTTTATTGATTCTTCGGTGAACAAATGCAATATTTTACATTGGAGTACAAGTGCTAATTGGTTACATTAATTCAGAATTGATTTGTAGAAGACCGCAAGTTAATTCCCCTACACAGATTTACAACAGACTCGACATGCATCTTGGCTCAAAAGATCATATAAAATATATTTTTGGAGTAATTTTAATATTAATAATTATATGATTGCAAGAGGGTCATCCTTCCTGTACCAATTCTTCAAACCTTTTCCAAATTTCTCCCCTCCCCTCCTATCCAACAGTGCATACACAGGGATCTGGCAGCACGCAACGTCCTCCTGGCCGACGATAACATCGTGAAAATCTGTGATTTTGGTCTGTCTCGAGACATCTACCACGATCCCGACTATGTGACTCGAGGAGGGGTGAGTAACATTCACGAAACTGGGGGGAAGTCACGGTGGTGTAGTAGTTTTTTTCTCGCCTTCCACCACTGTGACCCGGGTTCAATTCCTACCTCGGCCAGTATGTGGATTGGGTTTTCAGTTCCTACTTGATTCCGTGGGTTTTCCTCGAGAACATCATTCTGGGGTTTTCCTCCCACCTCTAAAACTGTAATTTCTTTTCATTGTCTCTTCTCTATAGGTTTCTTCAGGCTTGCGAGCTTACGGTGCCTAGGGTGCTTTTGAGGATTCCTTGGTTTCATTACCAACATAATAAAAAAAAACTCTAACAATAATAAGGCCAAAAAAAAAAAGTGTCCGGTTTCTGGTATGGAGCTTGCCCAAAAAGTGGTGCGGCGACGCGGCTTTTTTTTTTTTTTTACCTGATTTTTTTGCTTCAAATGTCGGCTGATGACTGCAAATGGTGCCCGACTAAACTTAGTACAAATAGGCCTATATGGGATTGGGAGTCCAGAGAGGCCACATAAAGCTTATTCTCGACCATAACCCCACCTAAAAACACGTTAAAATTGTGCAGCAGCAGAATTCCAATCAAACCAGTGAGTTTGGCGGTTTTGAGACATCATCTTTCACTGAAAAAAAAACTTTTTCATTTTGCTGACGCGCATGGCTACGGCAACGCGCGCGCATACCAGAAACCAGAGACTTTTTTTTGGCCTAATGCAAATCGCGTAGGATTTGATGCACAGCTGCGCAGCAAACTTAGGATCTTTGAAACCTTCCTCAAATGCATCATAACTGAAGTCTAGAAATTTAAATGTGGCGGCTTGATTTTTCAAGCTCACCGGCAACTTTCTAAGCTTGGCAGCAGTGGCGCTAAGCTTGGTGACCGAGCTTAGCTACCAGGATGGTTATACATGTTGGAGATCACTGAATTGTATAATTGTAGGCCCATCCTAAGCTCATGCGAGGACACTACAGGTTTTGTCCACAACCAGAACTCGCACCAAGTGTGTGTAAACCAATGCTACACAGTAAGTCTCACAAACTGAAACTTCTCATAAGTGCTCACAATGTGCAATCTACTGTTGATGCACGGAGTCCACAGGACAAGTGACCGTCCTTTTCATTGTTTCATGCACTCTCTTTTCTTCCTGTCATTGTAGGGTCGGCTGCCGATCAAGTGGATGGCACCAGAGTCGATCTTTGACAAAGTCTACACGTCATATAGTGATGTGTAAGTAACTTTATTTCCCATGCGAACTCTATATGTTTATCTTTGCTCTCATTTTGCTGGTCCGAGAGTCTCAGCCTAGTGTATGTCTCTTTGTACCTATCTACCCGACTCGCTTTCACTTGCGACTTAGCTGGGCAGTGCTATTGTATAGGATAACCCCCAACGCCAAAGCATGGGATAATTGTGTATAGACTGATGCATGAAAAGACATGTAAAGAAAAGTCGTTCCTAATCAATGTCAGCTAGTTCAGTATTTCAACTGCGCATGTGCACAATGGCATTGATGGGTCATGGACCATTCGGGATTATCGAATGATCAGAATGGCCGTTCGCGTAACATCTCGTCAGTGATTTTATCCCAAATTACCCTTTACCTGGACTACTTCATTTGAATGCTTATTGGAATATACCATTATCATTTCATAATGGAAATATAGGCCTGATATTTGTTTACATCAGTATTAACAATGTGTGTAGTATTGCAATACTCATTTACCAACTGTTGATGTAAACTTTGCTGTTCTTTTTTTCTAGGTGGTCGTTTGGAGTGTTCATGTGGGAGCTATTCCAGCTTGGTGGAACCCCATACCCGGGCGTGCCTGTCGACGAAGAGTTCTACAACCGGTTAAAGAATGGCTACCGCATGTGTGCGCCTGATCATGCTCCTCAGGAAATGTAAGCAAGTGTGGTTCGGTTTCTTATTGTTAGGGGGGGGGGGGGGGGAGGCATCACTGGACCACTTTCAATTAATATCACCTAGGGCTTCACTGCTTCAGCAAAACAAAGTCTATCACAAGCAAATGTGACCCATCAGGCCAGCGTTTAGCTCTAGTTTCCTTTGCATGAAACGACACAGAATATTCCTATTCCCCCTGGATGGGATGCCAGTCCATCGCAGGTTACTCCTCATATGTTTCAATACTCCGGGGTGTGCACTGGAGTGTAAACTGTACAACAAAAGGCTGTGCACAACAGCCAATCCAACACACGGTCCGTCTCTACAGACTTCGTGGACTTTGTGTGTGTGTACAAAAGACACGAGGGATAAAGCGTGTTTAGATGTCACCCAGAGACGAGTCGAGGCAATCTTAACGTTTTAATCCGTCAGCTGCCTGTGTATAAAAACAGTGCTTGTTATCACGTCCTTAGATGCGAAGTGGTTAACACTTTGTATTAGTTTAACCAAATCTTTGGTTTAGAAAAATCTTCCTCCTTCTAAAATATCTTTCAATTACTACCAGGGATACAAAGTCAAATAAGCAAAGGGAATTTCTTTAAAATGGATGTGTTTTTTTATACTGCATCCCTGTCATGCAGATATCACATTATGCTGGAGTGTTGGAACACAGAGGCTAAGGAGAGACCAGACTTCAGTGACCTGGTCATCAAGTTAGGGGACCAACTGGAGGCAAACGTCATTCAGGTAAGTATCTATGAGCAAGATTTCCATCTCGCAATACCTACAGGGGCCAACTTCACAGCGATGCTTAACGATTAGCAAAACAGTTGTGGTGTTAAAGTCTATCCGAAATTTGTGTTAATCGTTATATATTTCACCTCGAAGATGTGGTAATGCTTGCAAGTACCTGGTGAGTTCTACCTCTGCCTTTGAGGTTAGCCTGCTGTTTGGTGTGTTTTTGGCTTACTGTCTCCGTTGAATATGATACTATACCCCGAGTAATAGTGCTAATATCTGTCGACAAGAATTCCAATGGCTGTATCAATCCCTTACCCATTTCTTGAGAGAATTGGAGTTTGAAATGACACATCACCTGATAATTCCATCACAGGAATATTTGGACCTGAACATCCCCTTCGAAATTGAGAACGCCAGCCGGCCCTCCACCCAGTACATTGAGAAGGGCCTGGAACCGGTGGTGTTGCTCCCTCCCGAGATGGCATCGGAGAAGGCTGGCAACGACGAAGAGAGTCCACAGTCAGTGAGCCAATTGGACGAGGAGGGAACGGAGGAGGACATAGGAGCAGTGGGAGGAGACGATGAGATGGTGGAGGAGATTCAGGATCCCAGACCTGTGTGTCCAAGCCTGGATGGGCGGAACAGACCCGCCGGACTCTCCCAGGATGCACCCAAGGACTTTGTCTTACACATTCGGGAAGAACAGGAAGCGGGTGGGGAGGATAACATCAGGGAAGGAACTCATCCCGCAGGCGAGGTCGCGGGGTCGAGCGGTGAAGCTCACCACCTGAGCGACAGCCCGGCGAGCGAGGAGACGCAGTTGTCCGAAGAAGGCCGGGACTCGCTCAGCTCCTTGGAGAAGGCGGAACTGGAGGGGCTGGAGTCTGGACGGGACGCGTCATTCCACCACCACCACCACCATCATCACCACCACAATCACCACCGTGCCCGGAGCCGGGGAAACAGTAAAAGCGAGGAGTCGGTCTCGTCGGACTCGTCCAGCGGCTTCCGCTCCGGTGGTTACATCTCGGACGCCAACGAGGACGAACCGCCGCCGGAGTACAACAAGGTCATGCAAGTGGTCACTGTTCACTTCTGAGTATTCAATTATTTCTTAACCAAAAAAAAAAAATGATATTCATTGCTGACACAGCAAAGCTGTTTAGAATTTTGCTCAGTGAATTATTTTTCTGTAGAGTTGTAAGTTTGTGAATTACAAGTCGATCACAATTCATTCACAAGTCAATCACTATTCAATCACAATTCAATCAAGAGTCAAGCACAAGTCGATCACTAGTCAATCACAAGTCAATCACAAGTCAGTCCTAAGTCAATCACAAGTCAATCACAAGTCAATCACAAGTCAATCGCAAGTCAATTGCAAGTCAATCACAAGTCAATCACAAGTCATCACAAGTCAATCACAAGTCATCAAAAGTCAATCACAAGTCAATCGCAAGTCAATCACAAGTCAATCACAAGTCAATCACAATTCAATCAAGAGTCAATCACAAGTCAATCAAGAGTCATCACAAGTCAATCACTAGTCAATCACAAGTCAATCTCAAGTCAATCTCAAGTCAATCACAAGTTAATCACAAGTCAATCACAAAGTAATCACAAGTCAAATTTCATGCAAATGCAGTTTTGTTCAGTATGTAAATTGAGAGAAAACTGATCGTTAAGCCTTAAAGCTGCGTATGTTATTACTTTGTACAATCAAGTAATAATTAAAAAGAATTCAAGGTGTCATTTCCACCCTTAAGTCACAACTATAGAATTAAAAGCTAAAGAATTCAAAGTAATTTTTTGTTTCAAATTTGGCCGATTTCGGTGGTGATTCCTTGTGAGGTTTAGGTCATCCAGATCTTTTTAAAGCTGACTTTTTTTCATCTCAACAAAATCATGCTAAAAAAGAGTATATTTTTTAAGTACAGGAATGCTACCTCAATAACAGCCTTAACACTGCCATTTTACTGTTACACTATTTAGATTGGAAATTTTTGATGTGGAAATTATTATTGACCCCCAAGTTTGTAAAAAAAAAAAAAAAAAAAAGTGTAACTCTTTAAATATTATCTTATTCTTCTCAACAATTTTAGTTGCCAAAAACATGGTCAACGGGAGAAACTGAAAACAGATTATATTATACTTACAAATCATTAAGAGAAATAACGAAATAATCTTGCAACAAATATGTCAGACGTTATATTTTTATATACATGTACACTTGTAAGTTGTATTAACTGTTACTGCCCAACTTTGCCTTTGCAGTAGATTTCTTTAGATCGCGTACATGTAACCCCTTGCCATTAAAAGAAGGTGTATTTTTTTATTATGCAATATTGCCAAATTGTAGTTTGCGACACTCATAAAATATCCGACTAATCTTTCATAGTCGTTTCAGTGTCAAATGAATAAGCCAGGATAAGCCTAGAATGCAAAGTAGCAATAATACCTTTAAATAATAATTGTGAAGTGTACATCATATCAGTTCTGTGTCATCGTTATTATTTTAGGTAATAACAATTTGCATTAGTTATTCTGTTTAGTACAGTTAGTACTTTTTTCTATACAAATTATCCCAGAGTGCAAATGTCCTGCACAGTATTTAGTTTGAACAAAAGTTTCAGTCTGTATTAATCTAATTAAACACTGCCAAAAACAGTCCACGCTCAGTGGATTGGTCACAATTTTGAATCTGATCGTCTTATGATGACTTCATTTATATAAAAATTTGGGGAATCTCGTTAGCTACATTTTGATACCCTGTTTGCCAATAAAGACTGATTGACAACAGTTCATGAAAGATGATGCAGTTTGAAAAGTAGCAAATGTTAAGATTAGGTGAGGAGAAATTACCAAGCGTAACCACACACAGACTTGTTTCACATACCTAGTGTGGACTTTCCTTTCTTTTCGTGTAGTTAAGGAACACCAGTGGAAAAACTCATTTTCTCAAACTGTGAAAACTCTTACAACCCAATTTTTTTTCAATGATTCCCTTTAGTGTTTCTCTTCATTCTGCTACAGATAAACCTAACCCAAAAATGCCTCTAAACCTGTTTTCCAGAAATGGGGAAACACTGTGTGGACGTGGGCAAGTCCACACTTCGTCGCTGCTACCTACATTATGTGGACGTCTTTTGTTCGGAAGTCCACACTGCGTATGTAAGACAAGCTCACATGCCCGTAATTGGCCCCTATTGGCGGCACAGTGCCCGAACAAAGCGCGGGTAATTCAATTCGCATGCTCCCATGCATGCAAAGCACTATGTGATCGTTAATCCCTGCCGTTCGTTTCGGGCAGTGTGACATTGTCACGCAGCAATTTCCACTCGCGTACTCTTTAAATTTGCTACTTTTCAAACTGCATCATTTTTTATAAACTGTTGTCAGTGTTGAACAATTTACAGTCTTTGGTAGCAAACAGGGTATCAAAATGTAGCTAACAACATTCCCCAAAGGTCTATATGAATGACGTCATCATAAGACGATCAGATTCAAACTTACGACCCTCCAATGAGTGTGGACTTTCTTTTTTGCGGTGTTTATAATAGACCAATGTTTGTTTTCTTATAGGATATACCGGTACCTGTTCCCTATCCATACATTTCATGTAGTAATGTATAATAAATGTAATGTAACCCTTCTTATTTCTTTCCATTCCAACAAAAAAATAAAGTTTATTATGGGGAATGTGCAATCAGGCCTGTTTTTGTATCAGGCTGGTTTTCCATGGCAAGTTTTGTCTAACCTTTTTTTTTCATTTTAGCCAATATTATTCAATTGATAAAACCTCAACCAACTTCATAAACCAGCATGTTAATGACTTCAACCATTACTTCAACGCCAGTTGATAAAGACACCGTGATGGTGTCGCAAGCTCCTGTTACGAGCTCTGTAACTCAAATCCCAAAAAGGTATCTTTTATTAACTTTTACTTCAACCTTTAGTACTGTGAGAACTGCATTGATATTTTGCAGTTGGTCAAAATTACACTTAAAGTAATGAAAAGTACCTACCGATGTAACTGACAGAAACCATGTTCAAAGTGAAGATAGAACTGGTATGAATTACCCTATGAAATTATTCTGCCTCAGCCTGAAATGGTATCGTTTGGAAGAACACTATCATTGGATGGTTTTCAAACAAGCTGCCGGCTGGCACACTTTTGGACGTGCGTTACCTACGGAATCCAGGCAGAGACCCAAGAATGGTGCATACATTTTCTCTGTTTTCTCAAAATTTAAAGCATCCACTAAACTGAAACTGCAACTGGTTAGTTGTTATGAACTGAGTCATCTAGGTGCTTCGTACAAAGCTTTTAAGTGTAATTTCAGTGTGTACTCCGCTATAGGGCCGTAGTTGATAACCATTAAACAAGACCTATTTTGGTACCCAATTCGAGGATTGATCAAAGTAAAGTCAGTGCGGAGAAACAAAATGAAATACTTCAATCTTGTTTGATGTGGTCATCTAAATCTTTATTTGTAACTACAATTGTAGTAAATAATTATGCTGAATATTCGTGAAGGAAGGTTGCCACAGATAGTGTTTTAATTTGAGTGGCTAAGAGTGGGCAATTAAAAAACAAAATTTAAAGAGAAAAGAGACATAAAGTTTCAAAGCAATATTCTAGATTCAGGTTTCTTAAAAAACTCTTGCCAATATTCTAAAGAGCATTTCCATACAATATCCGGTATGATTGTGTTCCAAACTTTACTTTGGGAGTTCACACACTGGAAAGTTTTATCACAACTCAAAAAGAAAATGCGTTTCGATTTGTATAAACAAAAATCACACGAGTACAGACAGAGATTTGTTTTCGAAATGGCAAGTTCACATGTCAGATTCAAAAATAGAGGAAAGCGATGTTTGCTTTTCTGACTGAAACGATTTCCCGGTAAACCCCTAAGGGGTACTGACTAGGTGCATTATAGTAATCCAGAGGTCGCAGGTTCAAACCCCCTCTAGTCCATTTCTTTGTTCAACTTTAAAATGAGAAATATGATTATATTATGCTGCAACGAGTGAATAATGGGGTTCGTTGCACGAAGCAGTGAAAAATGAAAGCACATTCAACCGATGTGGGATTAACACCCCATACTCTTTTTTTAAACAAGAAAATAACTTTTGGGGAGGAACGATCCACTGTTCGATCAATAAAACTTCGTTTGCTCTATCTTCCCCCGTTCACAATAATTCATTCGTGAAAATTGGAGACAAACCGTATTAATTGCAGGGATACGAGAAAGGTCTTTGTGACGTTTCCTGTCTTTGACAATGTTTTTGTGCAGCTTTCATTGTAAATATTGTTGGTTGGTCCACGATAGAAGAAAAAAAAACATAGGACACACGACCAATAAGTGCCTTAAATATTTCTGTGTTCATATTTTGATGTGCGTGTACAAAATAGTAGCAGTAGTGACAGATTCGTATAGCCTGTATCATTGCCTGGGACATTCTTAGCCTTATATGTTGTAAATGTTCGTGTCGCCACCAGTAGTGGTTAACTATAGCCTGCATGCAGAGTTTAGTAGCTTGATAACAGAGAAAAGTAGCTTCTTTTTTTAATAAAAAAAAGAGAAAAAGATCGTGAGAGTCCGTGCAAGAGATGTGTACAGAGAGTTAGATTTTTTAGTTTGTTTTGTTTTCTGCAGGCGGTAAGGCAAAACTATGCATGTTTTTTTACGATTAGGAAACAGATATTTTATGCACACTGGTACGGTATAAGTTGAAAGCCCGTAAGTGCCTTCAGAATACAGTGGTTACATTTGGTGTATGCGTGCTTTTTGGGTGTGGCACCTTGACAAATAGGTTTTCAAATAAATTTCTAGCATTACATTAGTAAAGAGCTTTCCAATGAGACATCGCACGAAAAAAAAGCGGCTTACGACAATTAATCAATTTATTAAGTTCAACTTTTGAATAAGGCTTGTATTAATCCTGCAAAACACACACAAATTTATTTGTAACAGGACATTATATTCGTTTAAATTTCGTTCGGAATTGAAAATTGAAATTTTGAAAAAGCACGTATCTATTTACCAACTTTAACAAATCAAGTTACATCATTTTTCACAAATCATGTTTTCCTAAGTGAAATGTGTATTTATTTCTCTCGCGATTTTCAAAAGATATACAACTAACGCTAAGAAAGGAAGATATTAAATCTTAAAAGTTTGTCTTTTTGCCTATTTTGACAGCGGAGCCTGTTTCTTACATTCGATTTTTGTTTTAATTCGAAATTTGTTCTATTTCATTTTTGTTTGGAGCGGCTGGTTCGTTTTCGTTGTAGATTATA